CCAGCCCCGGTAAGTGCACGACGGTCCAGCGCGGGGGTGCGCCCGCGCCCGCCTCTCCACGCGCCCCTCGGAGCGCACGTGCGCGTGCCGGGTTGAGGCCTGGGCCTGGAGACACCCTCGCGCCCACACAGGTACCAGCCAGTGTACGGGTGGGCACACGGCTCACACACAGGTGCGTGCCTGGGCTCACACACACACACCCCGGCACACCGAGTCACGCTCACCCAGCCTGCCCTGTGTACACGCTCGCAGGGGCACACCTGCGCACAGACATTGAATGGCCAGCCAACACCCCTCCAAAACAGGGTCCTCCGCGCCCTCGGGAACAGTGTCACCCAGAACCCTAAAGGCACTCAAAAGGAAGACACCGATGTCCCCTGTCTGCCCAGAAGGGATGCCCGCCTCCCCCTGCCCCAGGATCCCTCCAGGACTCTTCGGATCCTGCCTCCTCTAGCCTTTGCCTCTACTCACACCTCCCCTAAGGTCTCTAGGACATCTGTCCACTGGGTGCCCCACTTAGGACAAAAGCTTCCTGGGGTTTTGATGCCCAGCAGAGGAAAACACGTCTTCTCTCAGATGTTCCTCTACACTATAATCTGCACCTCAAGACTTGTAGGGGCCTCTGGGAAGCATCTGTGGCGGCTCCAGAGAGAGGTCAGTGTGAGCAGACTCCTTCCCCAGCCTCTGAACCCACCGCCACACCCTCCTCCACCTGCCCCACCGGGAGAGGTTAATGCTGGCCGGGCAGATCCAAAGAGGAGCGGAGAGGAGACCCTGGGAGGAAGATGAGGGAATGGCGTGGCAGAGTAAGGGCAGGTGGAGAGAAAGGGCAAAAAGAAGGGGCAAATGAAACGAGTAGAGGAGAGGCTGGGAGAGGGGAGGAGAGAAGGGGCAGGAGAGGCGGCTCCTGCTTATTGATCATAAATTCCAGTTTGGAGCACTATTATCACAGTCACCATTGCATGCTGGCCCAGCCCCTACAGGCAGTCAGGACCCCAGACGGATTCCCTCATTGCTGCTGCCACCCCTCCACTTTTGCTAGATGCCCTACACGACCTCAAACCCTTCAAAAGTGAAGAGAGTAGTCCTTCAAGGCATCCTTGTCTTCAGGATGGTACATGGTCTGTCCTGGACAGACAGGAGGCTGGGGCTGCCTATCCTCTCATCCCGTCCCATCCTTGTACCCCCGGCTGTGGAGTAGACTGACACAGCTCTGAGCAGGCAGAAAGCAAAGGGCCCCAGAGGGAAGGAGGGAGGAGCCGGTGGCAAGAGGAGAGGAAGGGAAACCGCCTAGAGGCCAATCAATATCAGTGAGTGGGAGCTGGAGGGGGGGGGTGATGTGAGAGAGGGGGGAGGCCTAGAGGGTAAAAAGAGGAGAGAGACAGAGGTGTACAAGAGATCAATAGAGGCTGCAGAGGGGAGCAGAGACAAGGGTGAGGAACTGGCTCCTGGGAGAGGCCGGAGACGGCTTGAGAGACAGCACAGGCCCAGGGGCTACAAGGAAGTGTCCCGCCACAAACACCCCCCCCCATTTCATCTTCTCTGTTCTGGTCTCTCCGTTTGCCTCCCTCTGATCTTTTCTCTCCATTTCCTTATAGAGCTCCCTTTATCCCCAAGGGGAGGCCCCATGTCACAGATGGAGAAACTGAGGCAGCCAGCAGGGAGAGGCTGTCCTGAAAGTCGAGTGTCATTTCCTCCTTGGCCCCCTCCCTTGCAGACAGCTTCACCCTCACCCTCCCCAGAGGGTGGGCTCTGCCCTCCCACCTTGGCCATGCCCCCTCCCCCCTGCCTCATTGAATGTCCCTCTTCACTGGGCTCTGCTTGACCTTGTATGCAAGGGGGGGAGGAGAGGAGGAGGGACAGGAAGACCAGAGGTGGGCAGGTCCCAAAAAGCCAGACATCAGTGCCCCCAGGAGAAAAGGGGGTACAGCTTGAAAAGCCCACCCTTGCCTCTCCATCTCCCCCTTACAGCTCACAAATGTCGTCTTTCCCATGAGGCTGAGAGATCCCGAGGTACCGGAGAGCGAGGCCCCGTGTGGCTCCCAGGTCATACCCACCTTGTCCTTAGCGTTTGCTCAAGGCCATCCCACCAGTCCTGCATAGGCCTCTGGACCAAAGCCAGCCCCAGGTCCGCCCACCTCCCACCAACCCGGAACCCATCCCATCCATCTCTAATGCCCTTTTCCAGAAGCTTCTAATGGGTGGAAGTGAAGTACTATAGATGGATAGCAGTGCCTCTTGATCCAGATTCTCTCCACCTGGGCAAGAAATGCTCCCCCTGGGTCCTGCTGCCATACTGAAGTTCAATAAGGGCAGGGCAACCATTGGCATGGCGGTGGGCGGGGCATGGTTTCGAGTGGAGCTCTGCCGCCAACTGCCTGGCACTGGAGGCTTGGTTTCCTCCTCAGGTAGATGAGAAGGGTGATCCCTACCTCACCCCCACCCCACTCGCAGACACAGCAAATGCTAATATTAAGCCATACGATTACCATGGTCTCCAGATGTGTGCCAGGCTGAGCACACGGCGGCCAGGCTGCTGCCGCACCCAGTGAAGGCTGAGTGCCCTGAGCTGACCAGGAGGGGGGGCAGGTAGAGGGCCCCCGCAGGGAAGACAGGGAAGATCCCAGCAGTGGGGGCAAAGTAGGGGAGATAGCAAGACTCAGGGCCGGCCGTGCCTGAGAATGCAGGAAAGCGCTGAGCACCATGGGTTGGACATTTTTCAAAGGAAAAGAACAAACCAGCGGCCAACCAAGAGCCCCAGCCTGCGGGACCAGCAGGGGTCCGCTGGGAGATGAAAGGCTGGAGGTGTGGTGCAGAGACAAACTCCCGATCCAGCCACGCTCTGACCCAGGCCTGCTATGAACTAGCTCCAGAGAGGTGCCTCTCTTCTGTTCTCCAAGTAGGGAAGCTTCATCCTCAAGTGTGTAAGAGGGAATGTGTGTGCACGTGTGTGTGTGTGCGCACGCACACGCATTTTCTGCTCATTTCTCTGCAGGGCTGAAGAAGGCTGCTCACCGCGCCCCCCATCAGAGGGAGACCCCAAAACGTTCCCCCAAAGTCCAAGGTTGCTCTCCTCCCCTCCTCCAAGTCTAGCCCCCCCTGGCCTCCCTCTCCCAGGCTCTGGCCAGCTGCTGGTCACTTATCCCTGGGGACTAGAAAGTGCTGCGGAAGCTCCCTTCAGTGGGGACAGGCGGCAAATATGCCAAGTTGGCAGAGAGAAGAATCAAGTGAGGAGACTAGGGAATGTCCTTGGGCCTCCAGGGGACAACCTGCAATTAGGGTTCCTGAGGGAGATGGAGGGGAAGAGCAGGGCCCCAGGTCCAGGAACATCATCTCTTCTACCAGCTCAGGACGAGCTATCAATGGCTAGCTCCAGAGACTCAGGCCATAACCTGAGAAGCTCTGGGAAGGGACAGGGGACAGCAGCTGGTAGCTCCCTTGCATGCCACAGCAATGAGTAAGAAGGAACCAGGCAGCACGGGGCTCTGAGAGACCCTCCTGCTCTCCCTGCAGCTGGGAATGAATGTGAGGAGCGGGGCGTGTGCGTTCCCCCCACCCAATCTCTAGACACTCACGGTCATTGCAGACAGGGCCTCCGTAAGAGGTCATAGTGCAGTCGCAGGTGAAGCCGTCCCACTGCTGCAGGCAGACGCCCTGGTTGGCGCAGGATTCTTCGGTGCAGGTGGTGCTGGGGCCTAGAGAGGGAGAGGAGGAAGGAACACCTCCAGCTCAGCCAAACCTCCTCCCTCCTCCGAGGGCATAGAAGCTCCAGGTGCCTAGTTGGACCCGGAGGTTGCTCTCACAGGCCCTAAGAGCCAAATGTCGAGCAGAGAGATGGGGAGAGAATGGGAGGTTTCAAGACTGCTAGGCTGGGCTTTGGGGCTGTGATCGTGGCCAAGGTGCGAGGCAAGGGGGGCCGGGAATGAGCAGCCCTGTACTCCCCTGAACCTCTGCCACAAAGCTCTGGGGTCAGGGTCCAGCAAGGCGTGAGGAGGAAGGCCCCCTTCGCCACCCTGGCTGCCTGCCCTGGTCAGTATCTGCAGCTGGCCCTTCCATCGCCCCTCATGGTCACGCCTGACCACACTGTCCTCTGGTCTGCTACTCACCGTCACAGCCCCTCTCCACCTGCCCGATGCGGTGCAGGGCGTCGGCGATGAGATCTGGGAGGCGCCCGTTGAGGTCCACCGAGGCCAGGCAGCCCTGAAAGCCATCTCGGGAGGCCACCAGCTTGGGCAGGTTGCTGAACATATTCTTGCTCAGGCCACCAATGTACAACTCCCCTGCAAAGGGATGGGTGTCAGCTCCCTGCTAGATGTCTGGGTCCCTGTCCCCCCGCTTCTCCCCCACCAGCCCTCTGGGAGGCTCATGATGTTCCGAACCAGGATACAGTGACCTACAGATTCCCCTGGGTGCGCGCGCGCGCGCGCGCACACACACACACACACACACACACACACACACACACACCTTCCTCCTTCCTTTGCTACGGAACCATCTGTCTACCCCCCTCCCAGAGCAGCCCAGATGCCTGGGGGTGTGGGGGTTGGGGGACAGCTGGAGGAGCCCGCTCCCCGCTTGCTCCCACATGCTGGATTCCAGTTCCGGCCTGTAATCAGGGCCTTTCATAGATGTGCAGCCCCAGCCCCTCCACCCTCGTTCCCTTCTTCCCAGAGAAGTCTCTGCTTCCCCTTCAGGCCTCTCCCAACTCTGAGTTCTCTCCTGGGACGTTCTGAGCCCCCTTCCCTCCAATGACTAGAAGCCCTTCTCGGGGACTCCCGGTTCCCCACATGGGCCTGAACTCTCTGGAAGCCTGGTGTAAGGTAAAGCGAGCTTTGGCTGGCACTGGCCAACCTGCTGCCCGGCCCAGGGGGCTAAAGTCATCCTCATTGGTCACAGCGACCCCTAGGTTTGCTTGCGTCTTCCATTCTCTATGACATATCGCCCTCTCCTGGAAGCAAGGCGAATCTGCAGCACTGTGCCTGGAGATGGCAGAGCTCAGATCTGAAGAAATCCACCCATCTCTGAGAAGCCTCCCCAAGATGGGACAGTTTGGGTCACACAGACACCGAGAGGGCCTCGTGTGGGGTCATGGACACGGAGGCAGCTCCTACTGGTGGGGACAGGCTCTGTGGCAGCGTCGGCCTCCTCTCTCCTCTGCCTGCTCTCAACCCACCCCTTCTGCAATGCCTGTCTCCATGACTAGAGCGGAGGCCCTGGAGAAGATGGGGCCCAGAGCCTGCCCAGCCAGTGCCCAAGATACAGAACTTGGGGATCCCAGGTGCTGCTGCTCCCTTATAGTCTAACACACACACACACACACACACACACAGAGAGAGAGAGAGAGAGAGAGAGAGAGAGCACTGGCCAACGGGAAGCTCCCTGGCCTCTCTCCAGCCCTCCAAGATGCCAAGACAGACACCTCAACGTTGGGGCCCCTTAAAGGCCTGGGCCGCCTACCCGGACCTCTACAATCAGGCCACCGACCGCTTTTGTGACCCTTCCTGTCATCAGTAAGAGGTGATCTCAAATAGGGCATGTCAGCTGGACAGAGTGGAGGATGGGAAAAGGGAGCCTTCAAGGAGGGGGTGATGGGTGATCTTGCCGGGGTGAAGGGGAACTAGGCTTAGGGCTGGCCTTCTCCAGAGGCCCCACCCCACCTTTGAGATCCAGGTTTCGGGCGCCATTGGAGTGCTGTGTGACCGTGCGGGAGTCAATCTTGAGCGTGTGCACGTTGCCCGGGTCCCTGGACACCACCACGTTGTGCCACTGGTTGTCATTGACCGGTTTGTCGGAGTTCCCCTTCATCAAGGACGGCCCATTCCCCAGGTCAAACACGTAGTGGATGTACCTGCCCCGCAGTAGGGAGGAGACACTGGGTCAGCCTGGGTGAGGCTGGGAGCTACGGCTGGCAGGGGCCCAGGGGGCCTGGGAAGGAGCCCAAACCAAGGGCAAGAAGGTAAGGTGTGAAGTACTGTCACCGGAAATGGTAGTACGCCATCAAAGAGGTGGCTCCTGCCACACCGCTGAGGAGTTGGGGGGGCAGGGGGCCCCAACCCAGAAGTAGGATCTGCTCTGCTCTGGGGTGGGCTCTTCCAAGGCAGGAGAGGGGCCGGGCTGACTTCTGCCATCAAGAACACAATGGAGAAAGAGCAGAAAGGAGATCCCCGCTAAGCAAGTAGCTGGGGAGTCAGCAGCCTGGAAGTTGGGGTGCTTCTCCATCTCAATGGGGGACTGACCTTGATCTGTGGTTTGGGGATGCTGGACACCCCCTGGCGGCTAGGGGTGGGGTCTGGGTGTGTCAGGGGTCGGGGGCCCCTTCCTGACAGCCCTACCATAGCCAGCCCCTCACCCCTTGACCAGCTCGATGACGATGAAGTCGTTGCCGTTGCCTGAGTTGAACAGCAGCAGCCCGTCGGGGGCCGTGGTCTTGAACTGGAAGAAGAGGTGCATAGAGGCGTAGGCCTGGAGGGTGGCGAGCGCCAGGTAGCTACTGCGACTCTTGAAAGTGACAGGATCGGCCACGATGGCGCGCAGGCCGAAGCGGGCATTGAGCTCGCAGTAGGTGATGTCGCCGTCCTTGCACTGGTCCATGTACGGCTGCCCGTTGAACACCAGCCCGCTCAGGTGCCCTATGAAGTTGGAGGGCACCACGGAGATGAAGCGGCGCTCGGTCATGATGCCCGTCTCAATGTTGTGGAACTCCAGCCGCGTGTGGGCGCCTGCCATCTGTCCTGCTCGGGACGGGAGAGGAAGATGACGGGGCAGCTTTGGATCACAGCCCAAAGAATCATTTCTGGGGCTGGGCCTCAGGGGCCCCAGGGACGGACTTCCTCCACGTGAGACTGGCTAGCAGGAGACCTTCAATTAGCCCGAAGCAAATGTAGCTTCCGAGTGGGGAGTGGAGGGCTGCCGGGCATCCGGTTAATGCTGTTGCTGGGGGGAGGGGGTGGGCTAACATGGCCCCTGATGCCCAGACTCCCATGATGCACCACACCCTAGGGACAGGGAAGAAAATGGATCCCCAAAATACTACCCTAGAACAGCAGCCCAGGCAAAGGTCCCTAAAAGAAACACAAGGCCAGCTGGGCACCCGTGGCTCACGCCTGTCATCCCAGCTACTCAGGAGGCTGAGATCTGAGGATCGTGGTTCAAAGCCAGCCTGGGAAGGAAAGCCCATGAGACTCTTATTTCCAACGAACCACCAGAAAACCGGAAGTGGCGCTGTGGCTCAAGGGGTGGAGCGCTCACCTAGAGCTGGAGAGCTGAGGGACAGCGCCCAGGCCCAGAGTTCAAGACCCATAACCAAAAATAGCCCACAAAGCCGTAGAGACGTGTGCGTGCCGGGCCCAGGCCACCTACCCTCCACAGTCACGTTGTCCACAGACAGCTGCAGGCTCCTGCCTCGTCGTACCACCCTCACCGTGTGCCACTCATTGTCGTTGAGCTTGTGGCCCGCAAAGAGCGTCTCGGGGCCTTTACCTGCAGCACCAAGGGGGGGGTGAGCAGAGCGCCCGCACACGTTCACACGGCTCTGCGTGCAGTGCCAGGCACACGCATGTACACGCCACCCACAGCATGGACACTGTACCGCACCCATGAGCACACAAGTACGCACACTCATGGTCCGCCTCCTACCCAGAGTGTGTGCACGGACAACTTTCACACCCTGCATCTGCCCCGCTACCCACTGAAAAACCCACTTGCTCAGCCACTTTGTGTGATTTGCAAGGGTGCTGTTCCTATAGCCTGGAAAATGACTAGTGCCCTGGAGTTGTACCCTGAGGTAGGTCCTGCCCACACTCACACCTTCCACCTTAGCATCAGCAATGCATGATGCCAAGCAGCTAAGTTCCCAGGCCTAATGTTTTGGTTTAAAAAAAAAAAACAGCACAAACCAGGCGCATATCTATAATCCTACTTAGGAGGCTGAGATCTGCGGATCCCAGTTCAAAGCCAGCCTGGACAGGAAAGTTCGTGCGACTCTTATCTCCAATTAATCACAAAAGAAAAAAAATGCTGGAAGTGGAGCTGTGGCCCAAGTGGCAGAGCACCAACCTTGAGCAAAAATGCTCAGGGACAGTGATCAGGCTCTGAGTTCAAGCCCCAGGCCCAGCACGTGCGCGTGCACACACACACACACACACTGCACAGCCTGGCTCCATACCCGTGACCATGTGCTCCACAGATTCATCCTCTACCCACACACTTGGGCTCCTCCATCGGCAGGGGACCCCACGTGACCCAGTTAACCTACATACTGAAATCCTGGGCATGGCCAGGGGACAGTGTTCTATCTCTTGGGAACTGTGGCCTTCTCTTCCACACCCGAAGTCTGAAAGCAAATATACTTCTTTCAAATGCTGCTGAGCTTTGCAGCCTAACCAGGCCATCCCTGAGCTGGCTGGCGCCCCCTGTGGCTCTCTCTGCCTGGGCCTGGGGGTCCTGGCTCTGGGGAGGGGGTGCCTCCAGTACGCACACACACCATGCCACATCCCCCCTCCACACACACAGAGGTCTCTCTACCTGTGCCTTCCATGTTCCCATGCCCCCTCAGGTGATGAGCCCCAAGGCACACCTATGGGAACACCCTCTCCCTAGCCAGACACACAAGGAAGCCATGTCCCCAAGAACTATTCTTCTGACCCCTTGCTGCTGGCTCTCACTGGTACCCCCCCAAATAACTCTCATTTGTCATTTGTCCCCCAGCAGATATAGCAGCAGTGGAGAGCCTGCAGAACTCAGGAGGCCGGCATCTTCTTTCCATGGGCCTCGCCTGCCCCCTGGTGGCCACTGCTGGAGCTGTGCCGCAGAGCCCCAGGTACTCCGCCAGGTCCTGACCACAGGTTGGCAGGGGCAGGCCAATTCCTCCCCATCCCTTCTGCTGACAAGCTGTCCTGGCCTTGGTATCCTCTTTTCCAGAACCTAGTGAGCATCCTGACCACGGTCGCTCCACCAACTCGCCTAGTTGTGCTTCAATCCATTCAGCCCTTACTGCTCCCAACCTCCCCCCCGTACACCCATGCTTGTCCCCACCCCCATTGGCTTTGCCAGCCAGCAGTGACAGCTTCTTCTCCCCCCACCCCTCCCCAAACCCCAGCGTCCAGCACCCCAGACCCTTGGGCCTGCAGAAGAAGAGGGAAGCCACTTACTGGGTGCGCAGCCGACGCGCAGGCAGTCTGGGGGGGCCGTGTGGGGCGGGCAGAGGGGGAGGGAAGACAAAAAGGCAGAACAAGTTTTTTTTTTTTACATCCTTCACAGGGAGGGGTATCTGCGGGCGGGGGTTCCCCCAGGGCCACTTTCTGGGGACCACGCGTGCCCAGGTGCCCTCTCCCCTTCCTCAGTTGCGCCCCTGTCTCTCCTGCCCCCGAGAGGGCTCCAACCCTCCCCAGAGCCAGGAGGCAGGGCAGCGGGGTCCCCCTTTCTGGAGGGGCCCAGGCCTGTGTCCGAGGGAGATGGGCACCTTGGGATCCCAGTCGTACCGGGGACCATGGGGGGCTGAGGGCTTGGCCAACCCCCTATCTCCTCAGCGCCCGGGAGGGAGATAGCCGGGGAGGGCCAGGGTCCCTGCACCCCCAGCTCTGGAACGACTCCCTGCTCAGAGCCCAAGTGTAACACATCACTCCTTGAGCTCTGTGCTCAATGGGGGGGTCTGCCCCAGGGCCCCCGCCCGAGGCCATGCACCCCTCGAAGCCCCAGGGGCTGTACCACTCCGACAGGAACCTTCCTTCTACCCTGCCCTATTCGGAGACCCCAGGCGCCCCGGGACTGGGAGCTCTCCTTCATGCGGAAGAAATACTATTTCTTCTCTTTTCCTAAGGAAGAAGGATTTCAGAGAGCAATAGTGAGTCCCCAGCCTGTGACTCCTCCTAGGACATAAAGCAAAGCAGAGGCCAGCCCTGTTTCCTTCCCTGGCCCTTCCTCCAGCTTCAAGGTTGGAAGGCCGACAGCCCAGGGCCGCAGGATCTCTGGCCATCTTTCCAGCTGGACCCATCAGCCATCAGCCAGAGCCCCAGCGCTGTGACATCCGGGTCTCAGGCCCTTCCCATGCCTGGACGGCTTCACAAGACCCCGGACCCTGATTGGCCCAAGGATATGGGCTGCCTGGAGGGGCCACGAGGCTGGAGCCTCTTCCGCCCTACACTAACTCCCAGTGCAGCCTTGGGAACACCTCTCTGAGGCTGGAGAAAGGGGAGGTCCTGAGCGGGCAGCGGGGGTGCCTTTCAGAGAGGCTGGGCTCCAGCCTTCAATGAGCAACATCCCGACTTCCTGTGACTCTTCTGTCGGCAGCCTCTGCCCACGTCCCCGCCCCCCCCCTTGGCCCAGGGCATGCCTGGCACCCTTGGGCCTCTGAAGGTTCCTGGAGCGGAGGTGCACGGAGGCCCCTGTGGCTGTGGGGGTCATGGGCGCCTCGGGCAGTACAGCTGAGCTCCACACGCGTTGTCAACCGCAGCAGAAGAGTGGGGGAGCAGCCGGGACCCTAAGCCACAGCCTGGCACCAGGGAAGGGCAGAGGAGGGCAAAGGGAGGACAAGGGGGAAGACAGGGAGGGTGAGAGAAACAGGATCAGGAGCCCAGAGAGGAAAGGCTAGACAGAGGGGACAGTGGGGTGTCAGAATGAGGTGGAAGGGTGCCAGGCCCTGGAGTCAGGTCTTGGGGCTCTCTCTGAGCCAGCAGTCTTTCACCCATGAAGGGTCCAAAAAAGAAAAAAGGGGGGCTGGAAGGGTAGGCCGATCTCCTGCCAGGGAACAGGTCGGCCAGGAGTTTGACTTTCCCTTCCCCAGGAAGCAAACACCAGGAACGGGGGGGTGGGGGCTCTGTCTGTCCAGAAAAGAGGTGAATGGTCCAGCCTAACCCCACAGCAGCTTTCCCCTGGGTGCTCCAGGAACCCACCTGGAAGACGGACACCCAGGGGGGCCAGGCCCCTCCCACAAGAGAGCGAGCTGGAGAGTGGGACACACACACACACACATACACACACACACACAGCCCAGGTGTGGTCACTAGCAACGTGTCAACTTGTGGTTCATGTCTCAAGAGCAGGAAATGGACAGGACATGCCAAGGCCCCAGCTGGACCCAGAGCATGCAACCGACGGCGGGGGGGGGGGAGAGGGGGGAAGGCTGGCCGCAGCTCCCCAGGGGTGCCCTCACTCAGGGGCGGCGGCTTGACCACTGACAGAGCTGAGTATTCACTGGCTCCCACGGTCCCAGGGATCAAAGGGCTTTGGGGTGCAATGGGACTTAAGTGGAAACAAGAGTTAGAATTGTTCTAAAAGGCAGGCCTGGTGGGGATTTAGAAGCAAGGGGATGTTTCTGAGGGAAGGACAGCTCAGGGAGTGGAACGGCCAGCCAGCAGCCAGCTGCTGCTAACACAGTGCTTCCTGAGGGCAAGCCGTCTCCAGTGGGCGTGGCCTCCTGTGGGCGGGGCAGAGGCCTTGCAGGTAGGTTGGAAGAAAAGGAAGCAGGGGACTGACCCAAGGTAGAATGCCACACTGGAATGGGGCAAAGTATCCAAAGGACAGTCATCCCCTAGGGACAAAGGCCAGCCACCCTGCTCAGAGACCACAGGTAGCTGGGAGGGAGGGGGAGGCCCACTGGGGGAGGGGGTACAATCCCCCCTATCTGTGGTCTATCTGGAAGGAGCCAGCAGAGCCTTTCAGGTTTTCTCTTATCTAGCAAGTCCCCTACCTCGGGAGGTTGGCACCAAAATGCCCCTCTAGGCAATACTACCTCGTGGTCCCTGGCAACCTCTGCTCCCTTTTCAGGCCCAGTGCCAGGTGTCTTTTCTGGCAGGATCGCCTGCTGAGATGTGTGGCCCCCTCCTGAGCCATTGGTGCCCTCCATGAAGATGGAGATCAGACCTCCCCAGAATCCCCAGAGAAAGTCCAGCCTGGGACCCCGGTCTGGGTACTGCTGCCAAGTGGAAGGGGTGATGCTATGTAGAAGCAGACCCACATGCCCAACTCTAAGCATGGATTCTCTGCCAGAGAGGTTTGCTCTTGGTGGCACCTACATGTGTGTGCATGTATGTGTGTGCCCGCGTGTGCGTGTGTCTGTTGCTTCTAGAGAATATCTCCACTCCTATTCTCCTGTTTGAGTTTCAAAACCACCCAGAAAACAAGCAGGGAGAGGATTCTCATCTCAATTTTAGAGATGAAAGCAGGATCAGAACGGGGAAATGACTTACCCAATAAAGAAAGAAACCAGGTCTAGAACCCAGGTCTTCTGGCCCCGGTCGCAGAGCACTTCCCATCCCAGCCTGAGGCGGGATAGGTGGCTGGGGGCCAGTTCTGCCTCGACACTGGCCACACCCCCCTGTGTCCTCACATCTGGTGGTTCCAGCAGACAGATGTGTCTGCACCAAGTGTTTTGGTCACAGCTTTGTTGTCAGCTATACTAATGAGGGCATCTCAGCAGGGATGTCTCCGTGGATGGGGTAGGGGTGGGCATGAGGCCCATCCTGTTGGTTGTCAGTCTAGGAAGCCCATTCTTAACACTGGGGTGGAGGGGGAATCTCCCAGGACGGCCATCTTGTTCTTCAACTTCTGAGAATGTGGTATGAACAGAAAAGCAGGCCCACAGGAAAGACATGGTAGATAGACCCCACCATGGAAAGGTCCCAAGGACCCCGACAGCTTGACCTACGGAAGGAGCTCAAAAATGATTGTCTAGCCCTTCCCATGGCCCCAAGGATCAAGCTACATTCTCCTGACCCAAGATGCTGTCTCCTGTCTAGTCTCAAGAAACTGGAGTTTCTTCACAGAGGACCTAGGGCAGGTCAAGTAAACGAGAAGTGCCTGTCTTTCCTGCCTATGGAAGGCTCCAGATTTCCTCTGCTGGGTCCCACCAAGCACAGAGCCGAGGGTTTTGCCACAGAGAGTGAGCACACACAGACAGCAAAAAGCGGGATCTTGTGCTGTGTACCCAGTCTTATGCAGTCTGAGACGCACAGGGTCACATTCGGGGAGAATCGCGGGGAGGAGGGGGGTTGCTGGGCTGTCCATTTAGGACAATGTCATGGGCCGGGGGTTGGGGCTGTGCTGACCTGGGAAGCCTTGATCAGAAGGTATGTTGCCCCTCACATTTCCCTATACAGCTACGGGCTGAGACAGCAGTGAGGGCGGGGCCAGTGACTCCTCCAGCCAACCAGAGGCCTTGGTCCCCTGCCCAGCTCCCCACCTTACCTAATTCTATTAACAGGGTAATGGGCCCCTGAAGGCCACGCCTGTCCTGGGGGGGGGGCAGGTAAAAATGAGATTTTGGATAAATATTTAAATGCTCCAAGCACTGCATTCTTTCTGGAGTGGGGGAGCGGGAATGAGACTCAAATCTGCTGAGAGTTCTCCCTTCTCCCTGTCCAGGTGACCTGGTGGCCTGCAGGCTGCTCCATGGCACATGCTCAGGCCGCACTGTCCCCTGCTTCAGGCCAGTCCGAAATGGACAGACGCAGACGTGACCGCAGCCTGATGTGATAGACAGCGCTGGCCGTGCCCCATGCGCATGGGTGGAGACAGTGTGAGTGTTCTGATGGCAAAGGCCAGCAGCCCAGCGCCCCACACCCCATGACCTGGGTTTGAGATGGGTTTCTCCCTCTTCCCCGCCCCATCCCCCATTAGCTTGAGGATGTTGGACATGTCCACGTGAGTTTTATGATCTGCAGAACAGCAACGGCGATGTCTGCCTGGCGATCTGCAATCCTCCCGGGCGGCTACGGGACTGAGGCACGGAAACACGCATGCGAGATGAGATGGTGTGTCCCCGTGTGCGCACAGGCAGACAGCTCTCAAGCCAGCACAGCGGCTGAGGGCAGCTGCATGCGGGGACCAGCCTTTCGTCACCCCTAATCTGCCACTGCTCTGAGCATCCATGAGCGCCAGCAAGCATCAGTGAGCACTGCCCAAATGAATGAACCAACGAATGAAATTCGTAGATGGACCGGAAGTGAGAATGAGCTGGGTGACTGCGAGGGGGGCGTGGCCACGCTCTGGGTCTCCACCCCTCAGTTGTGGGATGTGAGGCACAGCTCTCAGCTGCAAACCCCTGCAAATGGCCAGAGCTCCCTGGGGCTCAGAGCTGGGGTGTCACCTCCCATCTTCAAATCCTGCTGAGGGCACTTCTTGCTGGTGCCGCCACCAGCTTCTCCAGACAGAGGGAGGTAGGGATGAGAGGCAGGCCGGAGGGGCTAGGAGGCCTGGGGCGGGGTGGTTACCGAGGTTGACCGTGAGCTTCATCTGCCCCCCGTCCAGCTCAAGGCGCAGGGTGTCGGCAGACTCCCTGGAGGTGGTGGCCATCATGAGTCCATAGGCCCGCTGGGACATGAAGCGCAGGGACACGTCCTCGGCTTCGGTGTGCATGGCATTGGGCAGCATGATCTTCATGTACATGGAGCCGTCATAGCTCAGGACCGTGGCCTCTGCCCCAGGAGTGGGAAGAACGCAGGGAGGGGGACAGAGGGACAAAGGGGAGTGGGGAGAGAAAGGAGAGCAGAGCATCGTTACAAGACCACAAGCCTCCCTCAAGAGGAAGGGGCGCAGGGGTGGGTGGTGCAGGTCACCTGAGCAGGGCGGCAGGGGTGAGGCGTGGGGAGGACTGGGATCAAGGCAGCTCACCTCTCTCGCAGACCCGCCCTAGAAAGCCGGTCCCGATGCAGTCACAGACAAAGCGGTTCCAGCCTTCCCGGCAGATGCCCCCGTTACGACACGGGGCAGAGGCGCACTGCTTCAGCGTCTCGCGGGAGCAGAAAGGGGCAACACCCGCAGCCCCCTGAGCCTCAGCCAGGCCCCGCAGGTCTCGGCTACGTCCATCTATGAACAGGTCTCGCACACAGCCCACGTAGCCAGCCCGGAGTGCTGCTGTCCACACCTCCGGGGGCAGCGGCAGGTCCACTCGGCCCCCCTCAGGGAGGCCACCCAGGTACAGCTCACTCTCCAGATCTAAGATCTCACTCTCTCCGGTGGCTAAGAACGGAGTGCTCCGGCTGTTCACTGAGATGGAGCCTGAGGACCGAGAGAAAGCCAGCCTCAGTGGGGAGAAGCCACGTACCAGAAGGGGGTGTCCCGACTCTACCCAGGAAGCCCCCAATCCCAGCTGAGCACCACCCCCCCTGCACCCAGCAGTAGGCTCAAGAGGATGAGCAACATTCTGGCCTGGAGATCTGGCTTCACTCGCCATGTTGCCCAAACTACCTTAAGGTTTCTGAAGCTCAGGAGCTCCTGTGACCCAGCTGCTCTGGGCCCTGCCTAGAACCTTCCCTGCTACCTGAGCAAGATCTCAAAGGACACACCCGAAAAGATTGTGTCCTAAAAAGACCAGATCATTCTCTGGGTTGTCCATGCTGGCCAATCCCTCGGACCAAGAACCAGGTGGAGAACCATGATAAGAGGCACAAAGTTGAATCCAAGGTTTCTAGTTTGAAGCGGCAGGGAGAGCTTACAGGGACTTGGGGACGGGGGCCAAGGGGTTGCCTGAGTGCCACAGCAGTGGAGAAGCAGACCAAGATCCCAGAATCTGCTGCTCCACCCTTCAGCCTCCCTGCCCTGGCCTGGAGCCCCATCCTATGGCTGGCAGACAAGACAGGCAGGCAGATCAGTTCCTGGGAACTGTGAAGCAGGCCGGCAGCCAGGAGAAAGGAGGCCAGACGTGGAGATTCTGAGTGAGAAGAGTTTTTTGTACCAAGAGAGAGTTACTATGGTTAAACATAATTGGTCTCCAAAGCTCACGGTGAAATTTGGTTGTCATTGTGGTGGTATTGAGTGGAGCCTTTAAGAGATGATTGGGCCGTGGATTAATGCCTTTCTCAGAGTGGGCTCAGGGTACGTTTGTTCTCAGCGTACGTGTGTGATACAGTACAGAAGTTCACACCAATCCACCAGGCTCTGGTGGTTCACACTTGGAATCCTAACTACTCAGGTGGCTGAGATCTGAGGCACAGCTCAAAGTCAGCCTAGGCGAAAAAAGCCCATGAGACTCTTTATCTCCAATTAACTACCAAAAAGCCCAAAGTGGAACTGTGACTCAAGTGGTAAAGTGCCAGTCTTGAGCAAAAAAAAAACTAAGGAACACCACCCAGGTGCTGAGTTCATGCCAGTCCCAGTTCAGAAACACACACACACACACACACACACACATACCACCCAGGTGCTGAGTTCATGCCAGTCCCAGTTCAGAAACACACACACACACACACACACACACACACACACACACCAAAAGCTGCCACCCTATCCTTGTCTTTTCCAGCCTCCAGAACTATAAGCCAAATAAACTTTCCTTTGTTAATATCCTAACCTCAAGTGTTTTGTAACAGAAACAAAAAATAGACTAAGACAAGTGATCACCTTTGGAAAAAGCTTTGGGATCAGAAGAGAGCACCAAAGCCTTTACTAAGATCTTAAGCTATAGAAATCTATACAGTAGAAACTTTATTCTTTTTATAGTTTTTTTTTATTCTATATGTTTTATTTCCTCCTTTTTCAAGTTTGGAAAAACCTTTCAAAGAAGTGTGTTGCCAGGCACTGGTAGGTCACATCTGTAACCCTAGCTACTAAGGAGGCTGAAATCTGAGGATCGCTGTTCAAAGCCAGTCCTAGCAGGAACACCCATGAGATTCTTATGTCCAATTAACCACTAGAAAACCAAAAGTGGAGCTGTGGCTCAAAGTGGTAGAGCACTAGTCTTGAGCAGAAAGCTCAGGGATAGTGCCCAAGCCCTGAGTTCAAGCCCATGACTGACCCCCCCAAAAAAATTGGAGGGAAAATATCAATGATTTCAATTGTGTGAGGTCTCTAGAATCACCAGATTTCACAGAGATGGAAAGTAGTGTCGAGGGTAGGAGAGACTCAGGGAAGTATGTGTTTAATGGAGATAGAGATTAGTTTGGGAAGATAAGGATGTTCTGGAGATCAATGGTAGTAACAGTTGTACAACAATATGAATATACTTCATACTCTAACTGTGCACTCAAAATGACTAAGATGGTAAATTTAAAGTTAAGTACAATTTATGACAGCTTTTAAAATAAAGCAATTTTGCAAAATATCATGGAAAGCTGGGAGCTGGTAACTCACTCCTGTAATCCCAGCTACTCAGGAGGCTGAGATGTAGGGATCATAATTCAAAGCTAGCCCAGACAGAAAAGCCCATGAGACTCTCATCTCCAATCAACCACAAGAAAACCAGACATGAAGCTGTGGCTCAAAGTGGTAGAGCATTAGCCTTGAGCAGAAAAGCTCAGGGACAGTAGTCAGGCCCTGAGTTCAAGCCCCATGACTAACACCCCAAAAAAAATGTCAGATAGATTTGAGAGGGCACTATTAGAATGGCTGCCCCAGGTCTGTGTTTGTACGTTTTGTGAACAAGAGGCATCAGAAAAATCTAGAGGTGGGCAAGACTGTGACCCTCACAAAACCCAACCAGACATGGTGCCTGGACTGTGGGGGTCAGTGTGAGGTAACAGGACCCCAGCCTAAGGGCTCAGAGGAGCAGGAGGTCTGGCAGGTTCTGCAAAGCTGAGAGACACTGACAGCCTGCACAGACACAGTGGGAGGTGTCCACGAAGACCCCACTGGTGCCGACAGGAGACACAGCCCGGAGAGAAGCCATTTCCCATCAAGTCCTCTGAGGAAGGAAGAGGGACAGCAAGCCCGGGAGAAGCCGTGGTTTGCAGGAGCGCTGGCGGCCCCCTCCTCCCCACACGCAGAGGAAAGGTCACTCCACGCAGATCCCAAGGCCCTGCTGGTGACAGCCCGAGGAGCAGAAAAATTTAGCTGACATTGATAAGCACTTAAATTGGATGATGTGTCGGGTCTCATTTATATCAATTCTCTTTCTTGAATAATTCTGTGTCCAACAACACAGAGGAGGGAATTAGCGAGCAGAAAACAAGAGGCTGGGAAGGAAGGCTGAAAAGAAAGGGTGGAAGAGAGTGGCTGGAAGGGATGGAAGGCCTAAGCACTCACACCTGCTGACCAGGCACTCCCTACCCTGCGACTCCATCATTCTAGTCTTCTCTGCCAGGCTGTTCACCGTGTCTTTCCTGGCCAGACATGGTGGATCATCTATTTGTGCTCCAGCACCTTGGACAGCGCCTAGCTCACAAGAAGTAAATGGCTCAGTAAACCCAGTCAGCCTTGGTTTCTGCATTCATTTCAGCCAAACACGGATGGAAATATGGGGGGTGGGAGGAGGAGGGGAACGGACTGTGTCTGTACTAAACATGTGCAAGCTTTTCTTTCCTATCATTATTCCTCAAACAATACAATGGAACTACTATTATATATAGCATTTACATTCTATTAGGTATTGTCAGATATCTATGATTAAAGGATTCAGGAGCCAGGCTAGTGGCTCACTATAATCCTAGCTATTCAGGAGGCTGAGATCTGAGGATATTGGTTTCAAGCCAACTGGGGTAGGAAAATCCATGAGACTCTCATCTCCAAATAACCACGAGAAAACCAGAAGTGGCGCTGTGGCTCCAAGTGGTAGAGCACTAGCCTTTGGGCAAACATGTTTAGGGATAGAACTCAGGCCTTGAGTCCAAGTGCCATAACCAAAAAAAAAGAAAAGAAAAAATTATAAAACACTATATCGGGTTTTGGTGGCTGTGGGGTATCCTGGAACCAAGTCCCCCAACCAGAAACTGCACCCATTGGTTGAGACAATAAAAGAAGGTTCAATGGTTCTGGGTTGAGGAGAGGCACAGTTAGACAGCTGTCTTCATGGAGGGATGGGATGGGGTGTTCTGTTCTGCTAGGGGCTGAGCTGATGCTTCCCCAGATGTGCCCAAATATGCTGCCACTCTCTCCTCTTGAGGGTCCTCGTGGAAGTTCCTTTCGCTAATAAGCACACAGAGTCCCACATGCTGTCTGTGGGAGCCAGGTCTGGCTGGCATTGAAGGCTGGGCTCCCTCTGCGGTGTGCGGGGATGGGAAGAACAAAGGCAAGACTGGAGGAGACGTGGTAGGGGAACAGAGCAAGAGATGATGAAGAACAAAGACTAGCCAGATGCTGGTGGCTCATGCCTATAATCCTAGCTACTCAGGAGGCCAAGACCTGAGGATCGAGGTCCAAAGCCAGACTCTTTATCTCTAATAAACCACTCAGAAAACCAGAGGTGGCGCAGTGACTCAAGTGGTAGAACACTAGCCTTGAGCTGAAGAGCTGAGAGACAGCGCCCCAGGCCCAGAGTTCAAGCCCCACGACCAAAAAGAAAAAAGAACAAAGACCAGCTGATGACAGATAAGGAGGAAGTGGGGACACAAGGAGAGGAGTAGCCAGGGCAGGGGGTGATCCAGAGGCCTCCTGACCTTTGCGCCCGTCCCTCTGGAAGTCCACATGGCACCATTCACCGTCGTTGACCTTGCGGCTGGACGCCCGAAGCTTGATGCCCCCAGAGCCCATGTCCAGAAGAAGATAGAGGTAGCCGTCCAACAGCTCCATGGCAAAGTAGTCAGCCCGCTGGGCAGCGCTATGGCTGCCTGCCCCGGCCCCAGCCCGCCGGCCCTGGCTGAACAGCAGCAGCCCGTTGGGCTCGGTGGTGCGGAAGTCCAGGGAGATGGAGCTGGTGCGCTTGGCACTCCAGCGGGGCAGGGCAACGAAGGCTTCGGGGCTCTCAAAGGTCACTGGGTCCAGAGCAGCCACATCCTCGCAGCGGAAGGACAGATCCCCCTGCAACTTCATCTTCGGGTCCCCTTCCTTTGCCAGGCGGGAGAGTTCCAGCTTGAAGTCATTGTTCTTATACACCACCTGCAGGGAGGAAAGGGTCAGGAAAGGGCCAGGGCAGGCCTGCCCTGCCACGGCCAGCAATTGCAAGGACCCCACTACCCATCCCCAGTGGCCCCGGCCCAGTGCCACTAGATAACCTGGCGCGGGCCTCTGCTTTGGAACCTCATACTCAGTGGCTGTGCCTGAGTTCCTTCCTTGGCCGCTTACTTCCTCCGCCCTGGCGAGGTGCCACCGGATCATGGTAAAAACAGAGGCAACTGCCACTAGTAGGTGGCTACCTTTTCTTTTTCTTCTTTTTTGTCAGTCCTGGGGCTTGAACACAGGGCCTGGGCGCTGTCCCTGAGCTCTTTTGCTCAAGGCTAGCACTCTACCACTTTTGAGCCAGAGTGCCACAATGGTTTTCTGGTGGTTAATTGGAGATAAGCGTCTCAAAGACTTTCCTGCCTGGGGGTGGCTTTGAACTGTGATCTTCCGCTCTCAGCCTTCGGAGTAGGCAGGATTACAGGCATGAGCCACCTTGCAGGGTTTTGTTGTTGTTTGTTTTTATAGACAGAATCTTTTCACTAACACTTGTCTCTGCTCCTCAAGACAATCGTAAGAACTGGGTCCCATCCTCATGTAAAGAGACTCAGGTCACCCAGCCAGTGAGTAGAAGGTATGAGACCGAAAGGCGGAGCTTCAGCCTTTCCCCGGTACCAGCGGCTGCTCCCAAAGAGCCTCTGAAAGGAGGAGGGAGGAGGCAGTGCCCTCTAAAGCGCAAGCGAGAGGGGAGAGGCCTCCTGACCCACTTAATGGCCATGGGTTTTGAAGAGAGGCTGTGAATAAACCACATGGCAGATGGGGCGGGGCCAAAGGGCTCTGGGGCCAACCCCAGCCCCTCCTGGCCTTACTCACGTCCTTGAGGCAGCCCATGAAGTTGTTGCTGACGGGCGAGCCCGGCAGGTCAGCAGTGTTGGGGCTGCCCCCAATGTAGAAGAAGTCGTCCGAGCCCAGCATGGTGTAATCCTCCTGCGTGTAGCCTGTGGTGGTCAGGATCCCGTCCACCGAGATGGTCACCTGCCCAGCCCAGGGAGGGGGAGAGACAGGAGACAACCGGCATCAACTCCCTGGGAAGAGCCAGGGCTGGGGAAGGGAAGGGCCGGGGGTCGTGGGGGAGGGGGACCCCCATTTTTATGTCTGCTTGTCTTGGAGGAGGAACAGTGGGGGTGGAGAAGGAAGGAGGAAGAGGAGGCAGCACAAGATTTGATGGTTTCAGGGTCTGCCCTCCACGCCTACAGCCCCAGCTCGGCAGGCCCAGGAAGAGGCTCACCACAATGCCAACACAGGCACCAGAGGCAGCTCCCAGAAGGCGCTGGGGACGGAGGGTGGGACTCCGGGACGGGGTCCTGTTATGGGAAGAGGAGGAAAGCCAAGTGGTGCCCTTACTCTTCACTGGACAGTGCTCTCTGGACACACGCGGGTTCAAAGCTTCCTCAAACAACTCCGCAGTCAACTCTGGCCCTGGGTGGCTGAGACTCACCTGCACCTCTGCTCGGGGCACCAGGTTCTTTCAGCCTCAGTCCAGGAGGGAGATGAAGATGGCAGTGAAGACAGACACACATCTGTCTGAGCAATCCCGAGACTGATTCCCTACTTCTTGATACCCAACTTTTGTGGGTTACTAATAGTCTTTTTGGGGGGGCGGGGGGAAGTGTTGGTGGTACTGGGGTTTGAACTCATGGCCTCTTGCTGGCTAGGAAGGCACTCATTATTGAACAATAATTCTAACCCTGATTTTTGCTCACTTTTGAGATAGAGTGTCACTTCCTGCCCAGGAGCCAGGCTTCCTAGTAGCTATGGCAGCAGGCATATGCCACCACATCTAGCTTTGTTGAGACAGGGGTCTTGCAAACTTTTTTCTTCCCTGACTGGCCTTGAACTGTGATTCTAACCATCTCAGGCTCCCGAGTAGCTAGATTACAGGCCTGAGCCACCGGTGCCCAGAATAACAGATACCTGTTATTCCTCCAAAGAAGGCAGCTTTGCACCTGTTCCTAGTTAGTCCTGGCTTTCTTCCCATCTAGTGTGCTCTCCATAGACATCCATTGTTCTACCCTTAGGGAACGGAATAGGGCAGGGCTGATCTCCAGAATAATCTTCCCCAGGGTAGAAAACTGGAGGACAGGAGTGGGAGTGGCTGATATGCTGAGCCTTTCAGCATGGACTTTGGGGGTGCCCACTGCCCCCCACAGGCAAAGGCTCCCCGGGACCCTGCAGAGTCCAGGCACCTGAGCAGCCACAAGGCTCCAGCCCCCCAGTAAAATTTGTAGGGAGGAACCAAGGCCTGTGGGATGATGAGCCCCTCTCTGGGAACTTAGGAGGGTCAATGCGGACAGAGGTAGCCCCCTGGGGCCCCCAGAGAGCTGGTTCTCTGTCATCCCAACTTTGTGTTTCACTACACCATCTGCTCCCCAAATATGCTCTAGAATCCCCTTTTTTTCAGGCAAAGGATCGAGACTGGGGCTTTCCAATCACACCCAGTCCACGTGCACTGCTACTAGCTTTCGTCCAGCCTCCAGGGTTCCGCTGTCTCAGGGACTCTTAAGGGACAGGGGAGAACCCTATAGAAGGAGCGCCCCAACTTCCCCAGGCCGCAGGAGTGTCCCTCGTGTTGGCTGGAGCCTCTCGTGGAGTGGGAGGGCTGGCAGAGCGAGGGCTGAAGGAGCGCCCTGGGGAACCATCAAACCTTGTGCTGGGGGCCAAGGTTCAAGGACAGAAGAGAACAGGTGGCGGTGGCGGAGGGAGGGGACAGTCTGAAGCTTTTGAGTCATGTTTTGAGGGGAGAGCTGGTCATTATTTATTTCTTCTTTCCTCCACCTCGCCTTGAGGCTGGAATGGGGGGGTTGGGGGGATAGGAGGACAGGGTCTGGGTGGAAAAGGGCAAGGGCAGAGTAAGTATTAGTCACGAACACATGCAAACAAGATTAGACCTGGCAGGAGAGGCTAGAGAAAGGGAAGGGGGAGAACTGGAAGGGGGGCAGGAGGGGGGAAGGAGCAGGACTGGGGAGGGAGAGAGAAGACAGGAGGAAAGGACCTCTCTAGGGAAAATGTGGCTCTACCTCACTCTCACGCCTCCTGATATGCAAGAGCCAGAACTGGACTGCTGACTGCTTCTAGAATCTAAGGATCACCCCCTGCAGGCTGGCCCCTGAAGGGTGGCACCCCATCTGACACGTCCCTGTGACCCCACCTGTCCAGCGGGGTCGCGGACATCAAGGTACGGTATTGTCCCTATCTCCATCTACAAACCTAATGCTCCCTGAGCCTGTGACTATGGTGGCAGCCTCAGGGGTGCAAGCCCACACCCCCACTTCTGTGCAGCCTTGTTTCATGCAGGAAGAATGTTCTCCTGGCCCCCAGCTCTCTCGGAAGTCTCTCTGGCCTCCAGAAGTCTTCTCTGAGCTCCTCGTGCGGTCTTCTCCCTCCCTGTCTCAGGCCATCGCCCCCCCCCCCCAGGCTCTGAGCTCTCCTCATCCTTTTCCATTGCCAAGGTCAAGGCCACCCTCCTTGTGTCTCTCTGAGTGAGAAGCGCCTGACTCAGGGCTGAGCACAGGGTCCCGGGATCACCCTCCTAAATCTGCTTCTGGGCTGGGAGCAAAGCCCACTGCGCCTCAGCGGCTTGGGGAAAAAGGGCTGCCTTAAACCCCACTCTGGGGAACAGGGTGTGGGGAGAAGGTGGCAGGAGGCAGGGAACCACCAGGAGGTACACTGGGGAAGGAGATCAGCAGGGGAGGGAGGAAGGAGAGACAGCAGTGGGTGGAGAGGAAGCAGAGGGCGGAGGGAATGGAGGAAGGTGTCTGGGGAAGGCAGGGAGGAGATGACTTAGATTAGTAAAACCCGACTGTTCCCTCAGACAAATCAAAGTCCAGACACAAAAATGGCAGGTTCGTTAGTAAAAGCAGGAAACAGGGGAATCATTCCCCTGTCCCCCTCCACCCCAGGGGCTCTTGATGCCCCTGCCCCCCAACCCCTCCCACGCAGCTTTCTGGAAGGGGTGGGGCCAGTGGGGGAGGAGGAGAGGAAGGGGGGGGCCTTGCGGACACAGAGCAGCCGCTGCAGCTGGGACCCATGCGGGTTAGAGGGGCAGGGTGGGGGGCCAGGCCCAGCAGGACAGGCCAGAAAGGCGGCAGCAGGTGAGAAGGCATGCCGGGCAGGGGCGATTGGAGGAGTGGAGATGGAGGCGAAAGAGCTGCGGGGTACAGGGAGGAGAAGCTTCCTTCTACTGAGGAGGCAGAGGAGCAACCCCTAGGACAGAGACTCTCACAAGAACAGAAAAGAAGGGCCCACCAGTGAGCCCCCCACATCCCACGGCCACCAATCACAATGCCAGACACATCTGCATGCATGCGTGCACGCACACACACACACACACACACCATCCTACCAAAAGCTGAGGAAGGAGGTCTCTAAGCAGCAGCAGCATCCAGACCACAGCGTGGACCCCAAAACCCTGCCAAAGGTCTACACCCAACCAACGCTGACCCATTCCACAGCCAACCAGCGCAGTAGGTCCTGAAGAGACCAGAGGAAATGACCATAGCCTCTGTGCTGTTCAGCCTAGAAACTAGACTAGCTAGCAGCGGCCCAGGGGACAGCCTGTGACCTAGCAGGGCTCTGAGCCCCTCCTGCTGGCCCTGTCCCCCCATCTCTGCCCTGACCACCCCCATTTGCTCAGTAGGCTGGGCAGAATAAGAACCAAATACTAGCCACTGAAAACCCTCATGGGTGGGTACCCAGCCCCACATGCCACCAGAAGAAAAGCTCAGATAGAAGGCACCTTCTGACACTGTCCAGTCATTTCCTGTCACTTGCCTCGATCCCAGGCTGACCTCCTAGTTGGAGAATACAATGGAGTGCAGGTGGGCTTGCCCGAAGCCCCCTGACAGTGTACACAAGACTCTATGGACGAGGGTTTGTCTCCTGTGGGAGTTCACTGCTGTCATTAAATCTTCAAAGGAACCCACAAGCCTAATGTGGTTCAGATCAACAGTGCAGGCCAGGCACCGGTGGCTCACACCCATAATCCAAGCTACTCAGGAGGCTGAGATCTGAGGACCATAGTTCAAAACAGTCTGGACAGGAAATGTCTGTGAGACTCTTATCACCAATTAACCACTAATAAAAATAAAAAGAAGTGGAGCTGTGGCTCAAGTAGTAGAATGCCAGTCTTGAGCAAAAAAGTTAAGGCACAGTGGCCAGGCCCTGAGTTCAAGCCCCAGTACAGGCAAAACAAAAAACAAAGAAAAGAAAAAAAAAACACAGTTGAAGCTGGGAGCTGACACCTGTCATCCTAGCTACTCAGGAGGCTGAGATCTGAGGATCACAGTTCAAAGCCACCTTAGGCAGGAAAGTTCGTGAGACTCATCTCCAATGAACCACCACCAAAAAACCAGAAGTGATGCTGTGGTTCAAGTGGTGGAGCACTCGCCTTGAGCTGAAGAGCTGAAGGACAGTGCCCAGGCACAGAGTTCAAGCCCCAAACAAGCAAAAGCAAACAAACAAACAAACACCAGTCCACAGGAAAGTTCCTGGCTGGAGTGGAGTAGGACGGGGAAGGGCTGGAGGAGGAAGCCCTATAAGCAGCTCCCAGTTTCCCACTACATGAGGAACTGCAGCCCTGCGCAGCAGTAAGTTCAGTCACCAGACAAACGGGGAGCTGAACTTGAGGCACAGAGTTGGCAGCCTGAAGCCTGTGGAAATCCCAGGCTCTCATTTAGCCTTTACTATTATTCTAGAACAATCTCACGTTGACTCTCTGGCTGTAGCCTGCAAAAGGAATTTAATACTCCTCCACCCCTGTTTCTTCCAGGCTCCCTGTGAGCAACAAATAAGAACAAGTCAAAGTGCTTAACTCTGTAAGCAGGCAAGGTGCTTTTCCTGGGACCCGGCACCCTCACCTGCCGACTGAGAACTCGCTCTGCCTCCTGCCTATAATGCAGGCATCATCAAGTTTAAATGACATCCAAAATGTGAATGCTGCTTAAAGACCTAACAAAGAACCATGATTGTTTTTATAAGCAAATGTTCATCAGCCTTACCACACTTAGCCCATCTGGCTCACTAGGTAAGCTTTTTTGGTCTGTCCATCCACTCTCCTAAGGAGAAATGCTCAAATAATATTAGACATGAGGGGTTGGGATTGTGGCTTAGTGGTAGAGCGCTTGCCTAGCATGCATGAAGCCCTGGGTTCAATTCCTCAGTACCACATACACAGAAAAAGCCAGAAGTGGCACTGTGGCTCAAGTGGTAGAGTGCTAGCCTTGAGCAAAAGAAGCTCAGGAACAGTGCCTAAACCCTGAGTTCAAGCCCCACAACCGGCAAAAAAAAAAATCAATCTATCTATCTATCTATATATATGCAGATACATATACACATATATGTATGTGACATGAGTCCATATGAATGAGTTACTAAAACATAAATACAATATGAGCCTGGATGATAGTGACTCAGGCCTGTAATCCTAGCTAAATCAGGAGGTTGAAATCTGAGGATCGCGGTTCAAAGCCAGACGAGGCAGGAAAGTCCATGAGACTCTTACCTCCAATTAACCACCAGAAAACTGGAAGTGGCACTGTGGCTCAAAGTAGTAGAGCAGAGCAAAAAAGTCTCAGTTCAAGCTCCACCACCAACAAAAGCAAAAAACAAAAAGCTGGTGTGCATTCTCTGAGTGGTCTTGGCCCCTAGGGCAGGTTAATGAAGGTTTGCGAAACCACAGAATCTGTTCATCCATCAGCTGTTGCTTATTCAGGGAAGCATGGACTTTGGACACAGCATTTGCCAAAATCTTCCTTTGCCAGGACTGAAACCAGACAAAGTTGTTGGCTTCTTAACTAACTAAACTATGTCATTCATCTTCAGGCTTCCTCCCAACTCCTGAGGCATCTTGATTCCTAATAAGGGAGGATAACAAGATCTCCAGTGGGGCCAGAGCCTCTCAGTTCCCCCAGGACTCTTATGGGAAGGGAATAGCTTCTTTGTACAACAGCTCAGCCCCAGACACTCAGCGATAAGCAGCTAATGCTTTATAGAGCTTAATAAAATTATCATTCCCTTATGCAGTCCAAAGGCTTCCACACGCCTCGCACATACACTTGACCTTCACACTGATCCATGCCAGAGCAGTTCAGATACACTGTCAGCCCACTGGTGGATGAAAGCACTAAGCTTTTTTAGCCTTATTGAGACTAGAAGGCCCAGTCCTAATTCTAGCATGGTACCCCGAGTCACCTGGAAAGTCCTTCGTGGGTTGATCATACCTCCCTCCCTCTGTCCTCAAAGTCACAGGTTGTCTGTGCCTTGAAATGGCCAGCTTCTGACAGGTACCCAAGGGCCTGGCCCCAGCAGGGTAGACAGAAGCTAACTTCTAGAAGCAGCAGCGGGAGGAAGAGAGGCTAGAGAGGGCTGGCACTGGTCAATCTGTACTCCTCTGTTTGTGGCAGTAGCCACACACCAGGTCTTAGACCGGGGAAGGCTGGGGTGGTGCTGGCTGAGCGCTAGTTTGTGTGAATTCAAGAAAGCATACATGGCCACATGCCAGCGGCTCACACCTGTCATCCTAGCTACTCAGGAGGCGGAGAGCTGAGGACTTCGGTTCAAAACCAGCCCAGGCAGGAAAGTCTGTGAAAAACTATAAGTGGAGGTGTGACTCAAGTGATAGAGTACCAGCCTTGAGTGAAAAAAACAAACCAGAAGCCTGGCACTGGTGGCTCACACCTGTAATCCTAGCTACTCAGGAGGCTGAGATCTGAGGATCGTGGTTCAAAGCCAGCCCGGGCAGGAGAGACCATGAGACACCTATCTCCAATAAACCACCAGAAAACCGGAAGTGGCGCTGTGGCTCAAGTGGTAGAGCGCTTGCCTTGAGCTGAAGAGCTGAGGGACAGCGCCCAGGCCCGGAGTTCAAGCCCCACAACCGACAAAAAAAAAAAAACAAAAAACTCAGGGACAGTGTCCAGGCCCTGAGTTCAAGTCCCAGGAACAGCACAAAAAAAGAAAACATACACCTGTGAAGACATCAGAAAGACCAGACATGCCCTCAGAGATGCGGCCTCCTGGGGAGGTCGGAAAGCCTCTGAGGCTGGGAACTCCAGCTCCACTACCATAGACAGATTCAGGAGGCTGAGTAGGCCAGACAACTGCCCCAAGCAGTTCCCACCTCAGCCAGGGGCAGACAAGTCCATCTACAGGGCCCCCGCCTGGTGTTCAATCACTCTGCATTATTAATAGGCGATGACTAACGAGCTGCTGCCGCCGCGCCGGAACTGGGCAGGCAGGAGGGAATCCCAGGGGATGGCTCCGGCAGCCCGCGGGCACACGCTCCCGCAGCGCCCGCCACCCAGCCCCTACCCTGTCTCTGCGCATCACGGCATCTACACCGAAGGGCCGGCCTCCACCGCCTACCTCCATACAGAATCCCTCAGCCCCCTCCAAACCAGCCAGGGCTACAGCCCCCACCCCCCTCGGTTATACCCAGAGGAACACCAGCAGTCTCCCAAACACACAGCATGGCTTCCCACTCACACCCCTAAAAGTCACACCAACATTTACACACAGTCACACCCACATGCCAACACACACCAGCTGCCTTTCCACCGACACCCACACCCACGCCAGCATTCGCAGGGACCGAGCCCAACCCAAACACAAGAAGCCTGGCAAGGACAAGGACAAGACAAGGCTGCCCTGCTCCACCCCTGCACGGCCCGCTCCTCTGGCCACTCTCAGCAGGGAAGGAAGCCCAGCCCTGTCAGAGGCCATGCAGGAGAGGCAGGGACAGGGGGGTGGGGGGCAGGGGAGGGGCTCAAGGGGCAGGAAGACAGTGTGAAACACAGTGTTAGTCAGAGCAGCGGAGCTTGGGGGAACTGGACACTATCCCTGGTTGGGAGAAAAGACCATTCATGCCATGCAAAATGTAGGGGAGACAGAACTGGAAATCCTCAAGGCTGAGAGGTGGGGAGGGGTGCCACCTTTCCCCTGGTAAGCCAGCATGGAGCAGCCCACCAAACTGGTATGAACTGGTGATCTGAAGGAGGGCGGGATTGGTCCCAGGCCACTCTGCATCTCCTAAAGCCATCCCTCCAAACTCCTCTGTGGAACCTGCCCCGCTGTCCACCAGGGGAGGTCACACCCCAGCCCCGAACCCTCAGCTTGAGGAGCCCCGTCCGGAGCCGACGGTGAGCAGAGCGTAGCATGTCATGGGATGGCGTTTTCCATGGATTTTCAGGAGACCAAGAAAGAAATCAAACCAAGAGAAAAACAAAAATAGGGAAGGGAAGGGGGAAAAAAAGAACAAAAGAAAGGGATAGAAATAAGCTTGTAGATTGGCATTGGGGCTGGCCTGACGGGAGCCGTGAACGGAGGCCTGCCCAAGGCCGCTCAGGCCAGGGCTCTGACTTCATTCGGAAGGCAGGGATGATAGGGCAGGACCAGGCCAAATTCTTTGATTGCCATTTGTCTTTTGGATTTGAGTTTGGACCAAAAAAAGGAAGAAGAAGAACGAAAAGGGAAAGAAGAAAATTAAAGAGAATCAAAAATCTAGATTGTCCAGGACGCAAAAATAATAGTAATAATAATAATAATAATTGGAAGAGCAAAACAACCAAAACCAAACGAGGAGAGGAAACAAAAGTGGGATAATCGAACAGTTAAAAAAACCCACGGCAAACCAAACGGTAAGACAATTAGAGTGATATCTACCAGATAATGCAGTTTGTTTACCATAGCGTGTCCAATCCCTGCGTGCTTCACCGGAGATGGGGGAGGGGAAGGGGGTGTCAGAAAAAACAAAAAAACAAAAAGGACAACAACAAAGACAACAACAAAAGACCAGAACGAAAAGAAAAGAAAAAATAAAATGACCAACTGTGAAACTCAAGGAAGGAGGAAAAATATATATGCATATATATTTGGTTGGTTGTTCAGACCCTCCCACCTCGGGCTCAACAGCAGTATTTAAAAGAAAAACTAAATTATAATGAGAGGGAGAAATAAAACACACACACAGATTAAATCCCTTTTTCTCCCAATCCCCTTCCCACCCCTCTTCAGGATTCCTCTCCCCAGTCTTCATTCCCCTCCCCTCCCAAGAACCCCATTCTGCAGAGAAGGGGAACAGTTAGAGACCTTGGTTAGTAGAGGTGGGGGGAAAAAAGGAAAAAAAAAAAAAAAACCAACAAAAGAACTGGACCAAGAAAGCAAAGACTTAAAGATGGCCGACATTCCGCAGATGACACAGAAAGGTTAGTTCGGTTTTTCACTCATACCTTGCCCCACCTGTCCCTGCCCGTCCCTTGGTCCCCAGGGTTATAAGCGTGTTAGTAACACACACGGAGTCAGTAACGGGGTTTTCCAACAGAAGGTGAGAGAGGGAAGGTAAGGGTTAAGAAGCAGACCCAGTTATGCAGTATTAGTAGGTCCTATCCAGTTGAAATGTTAGGGAGTTGAGGGGAGGGGATGGAGGGAGGGGAACAAGGGTGTGAGACGGGGTGGGCTGCTGCCTTGGGGGGATGGACGGATGGCTCTGTTGGCTGACTGGTCAACCAGATGGCTTTCTAGAGAACTGGCTAAGGAGTGAGATGCTATTGGCCAACTGGCTGACCGGTGGCCGTGTTGGGTTAATGGGTTAACTGGTTGCTGATGGGCCAGCTGGCTGTCAGGCTGGGAGACAAGTGGGTAACGCCCGTGGAGAATTGCAGGACTGGCAAAAATGAGAACGCTTTCATTGGAAACCAAGGAAGCGGCCCCCACCCAGAAGGGGCGTGGGCATCTGCTTTTCTGGGGGACGGAGGGGAGGAAATGATTGCAGTCACTGGGGGAGAAGGGCAGCTCCTCTCTCTCACTCTCCTTTTTTATTTTTTTTTAATCTTTGCTTCTCTTTGGGAGCTGGGGAGAGAGTGAGTCGCCATCACAACCGGGAGGAGGAGGGCTGGCAGAGGGCTCACAGTGCCCCCCACCATCCCAAACCCTCCTCCCGCTCCTCCCCTCTCCCACCCATCCCAAACCCTCCTCCCGCTCCTCCCCTCTCCCACCCATCCCAAACCCTCCTCCCGCTCCTCCCCTCTCCCACCCACAGCTGGGTCCTCCTGCTGCCCACCTTGGTTTGTCCCGAGCCCACATTTCCCAGAGTCCTCTGGGTTCTTCAATAACACATTCCCAACCTCCAATTCTCTTGTCCTTTGTGCAACCATCACCCCCCTCCTGAATTAAGTACCCTAGAAGCACCCCTGAAAGTCCCTAGAACGGATGAGGCTTTCCCAGCAGTCATGTATACCCCCAAACCCCTGAACCTCCTTTTCCCATGGCCAGTGCCAGAAATTCACTCTCCTTGAACTCATGAAGAACACAGGTACCCACCTACCTCTGAAAGCCCTTACTCTTCCCTGTACTGAGCCTCATCTTCTACCCTGGCCTCTCAATTCTGATCTCCACATACTACTAAGTTTATTTTCTCTTCCCTCTGTCAAGGACCCATCCACCTTCTCCCCATCCACCTTCAAAACTACCGAGACTTTGGAGAGGAGAGGTCAAAGGCACTGAGGCAGCTTTACTTAAAAGTAGCAGAGATGGAGGGAGACAGTTGCTCAGGGTCCCAGACTGTGCTTGGGAGAAGGTGTGGAGTTCTAGGGACAAAGTCATTCGTTAAGACGGTTTTATAACCAGTGGGCACAAAACTAATTTAGTAAGACAATTAATAAGGGCCTCATATAATTAAAAATAACAGAATTCAATATTAGCAGCTAGAAGAAGTGCTGAATAACCAATGCAGAAGCCGTTTACATAGCAAGAGAAGAATCTAATTGCAGGTGCAATGTTAGATAAGATAACTCTGCTGGCTAGTAGGATTGTCAGGAAATGAAGAGGCCAGCTAGTCAGAACATGGAGTGATTAGCTTTGGGCAGCTAAATCAATTGTGGCCCAAAAGGTTAAAAATAATAATAAGTTGTCTGACATCACTATACCAGTTGACCAAGAGGAAGAGGAGGGGCGTTAAAGGTAAAAACCTAAGTATTGTTCCTTTTAAATTAGAATTGGTTGTGGAGAATACAATGACAGGGGGAAGAACATTTTTCAGCATGTATGAAATTCCAGTTTTGTCTTTTTTGTTTGGGGATGGAACTCGGGGCCTCTCACTCTTTTTTAGCTTTTTTACTCAAGGTTGGTGCTCTAGCACTTCAGCCATGCTTGCACTTCTGGCTTTTTTTCTAATTTATTGAAAGTTAAGAGCCTCTCAAGAGATTTGTGTGCCCTACTGACTTAGAATCTGAATCTTCAGATCTCAGCTTCCTGAGTAGCTACAATTACGGGCTCAAACCAATGGCGCCTGACAGAAGTTGCAGCATTAACAATCAAAACAGTAGATTAAAAACCAAGCCTGAGAGGGGAGACATGAGTTCAAAGCCTAGGCCTTCCACAAATTGGTCAGGAGATCAGGCTCACAAAAACAGCAGCGCTGGCGTGGACAAGATAGGGCCCCTGTAGATCCAGAGAATAAAGACCCAGAGCGCTGTCCATGGCGATAATGCTTTGGGGACAACTGTGGTCAAACACTAGAATGGAGCTTCCCGGTGATCCGAAACACACATGGGGGAGGGGGACACCGCAGCCGGGCTCTGGGGAGCCAAGTTTTAGACCAGAGAACGAGCAGTACAGACCTATCTACTTGTAGGGGCAGGGAGCACAAGAACTTGGATGTCTGATGAGTGACACGGTATCGTGGTCGCAGAGGGGAGAAGACAGTCATTATATCAAGTGAGCTTACCACAGCCAAGGGGCTTTGGACATTATAACCATCTGTCAGGACAATGGGGGTATACACACACACACACAATGGAATTTTATTCAGCTATTAGAAAGAATAATATGTCATTTGCAGGGAAATGGATGGACCTAGGAAAAATTATGTGAAGTCAGGCTCTGAGAGACAAATGATGCATTTTTTTCCTCTCCTATATAGAAGCTAGATCTACTGTATTCAGGGTTTTATGCATAAGCCCACAGATAAGCTGACTAAAGGATGGTATAGTTAGGGGAAGAGTCCAATGGTGTAACTCCTCTGAACCAATGAACTGTTTACCAAGATGAATACCAGAAAGTAGATGAAGTGTAAACATGTTTTGAGGGGGGCATACAAAAGGAGAAAGAAAGGGTGAATAAGTACAGTCATTATTCGATGTACGTTATATACAAATTGAACTACATAATGAGGGTAGGGCTGAAACGGGGGAGGTGGGGAGGAAGATGGACGATACTGATCAGGATGCACTGTACTCATAAACTGACATGTGGAACTGAAACCCTTTGGTACAACTACTTAAAGATAATTTTTAAAACATAGTTGCTGATATTAAGCCCTCAATTTGCCTACCACCTAGAAGTAGAGATAAGAGTGAGCACAAATATTGACACACAGGCAGAATGTAACAAGAGGCCTAGAATACAAATTTCCAAGGGCTCAAAGAACATAGCAAAGAAGGAAGTTGGCTGGGGATGGAGCGCAAAAGGCTTTTTGTTGTTGCTGTTGTCAGTCGTGGGGCTTGAACTCTGGGCCTGGGCACCATCCCTGCACTCTTCAGCTCAAGGTGAGTGCACTACCTCTTGAGCCACAGTGCCATGTCCAGTTTTCTAGTGGTTTATTGGAAATCAGTGTCTCACGGACTTTTCTGCCAGCGCTGGCTTTGAACCGTAATCCTCAGAGCTCAGCCTCCTGAGTAGATAGGATGACAGGCGTGAGCCACTAGCGCCCAGCATCATAAAAGGCTTATAAGGAAGATGGCATTTGCTGGGCACCAATGGCTCACACCTATCATCCTAGCTACTCAGGAGGCTGAGATCTGAGGATCACGGTTCAAAGCCAGCCCAGGCAGAAAAGTCCCTGAAACTCTTATCTCCAATAAACCACCAGAAAACCAGAAGTGGTGGTGTAGCTCAATTGGTAGAACACTAGCCTTGAGCTGAAGAACTGAGGGAGAGCGGCCAGGCCCAGAGTTCAAGCCCTACAACCAATAAAAAAAAAAAAAAGAGGAGGAGGAATAGGAGGGGGAGGAGGAGGAGGAGGAGGAGGAGGAGGAGGAGGAGGAGGGGGAGGAGGAGGAGGAGGAGGAGGAGGAGGAGGAGGAGGAGGAGGAGGGGGAGGGGGAGGAGGAGGAGGAGGTGGTATTTAAGCTGGGCCTGAAGGACTGAGGGGAAAACCCCCCAGCTAACGATCATGGCAACAATCAGTCCCTCAGTGCCCCTCAGGGCAGGCATGAGTGCTTGAAGCACTCTGTCATGAAACTCTTCCCTCCCACTTCGCCTATGAGGAACCAAAACTCCAAGGGGCTTTGTACCTTGCCTAGGCAAACAATTGGGCCTTACGCCCTATCTGTCTGTCTGTCCGTCTGAAATGTCAGTTCTGAGATTTCATCTGGCAGAAGGGTGAACGGGAGAGCTGTGGAAGGAAGAGAAGAGCTAGAAAGCCTGTACAGACCGGTGTGAGGAGCAGCAAAGTTGGGCCTCAAGATGGGCTGTGTGCCGTGGCAGCGAAGAGGAATCCCTCAGGCCAGCTGGGCTCCACCACAGAGCACTGCCCTCCCCAGGGACTGCATCCCTCACTGAATCCATCCCTGAGAATCCCATCCCTGGGGACTCTATTCTTGGTGGTCCCATCCTTCTCCATCCAGGGCATCCAGGGGAGTTTCTGAAAGTGTCAGTAGTGAGAAGAGACACCATTTGAGGTGAGCCAGGAAAAGCACCACATAAGGTTTGGTAGTCACCTTGCCTTCCAAGTTTGGTCCTGGTTAATGATAAAATGGGTTTGCACATTCTGCTTACGTGGTGGTTGGAGGCAGTTGGGAGGTGCACTGGGTAGGAGAGGAGATTGGGCCCAGGGTTAAAAATAGGCCTCAAGAAATTCTCAGCGGTAATCATCTCGCCAAGATCTCCCCTAGAGAACTAACTGCCTGTTACAGTGGCTTCAGGAGCGGAGTCTGAAAGGGGAGGAAGAAGGGAGGGAGGTGTTGTTTCAGTCAGGCCTCTTTTGGTCCTAACCGTTCAGTCTATCTAGATGATTGCACGGGTAACTTAATCCAAGGGTATGTGAGAGGAAAGCCAGCCTCTTTCCAGTCTTTGGAACTGGCCTTTGACCTATTCCCAAATTCCAGAAGCAAAAGGAAAGGAGAGCCTTAGATGCGGCTTCTGGGACACGCCCTCCCAGAAGACGGTCTCTCCAGGGGAAAGTGTGTGGAAGCCACAGTGTTCTCAGATCCTGGCCCCTGGGCCAGCGGCAGATGACAGGGATTAAACTCAGGACCTTGAGCATGCAACCACCAAGCTATACTTCCATCCCTGATGTCATTTTTTTAACATTAACCCCTGTATTCCTAGCCAATAAAAAACACCCATCCCACAAGACCCTTGGATCACAGAGGAATTTTCCACTCCCAGAACACGGTCTGGATACTGGACAAGCTTGCATGAACAAAGTTCTCTCCAGGAGCCCTACTGACTTTTGGGGTCAACTGATTCCTTGTTGATGACTGTCCTTCGGACTATGTGATGGGGCAGAGTCTTGGCCTTTACCTACAAGAAGCTGGTAACACCTCTTGAGCTATGACAATACTTTAAAAGGTCTCCAGCTATTGGTGAATGTCCAGTGTGATTGACTGATTGAGAGTCCTGTAGGAAGAGGACTCAAGAAATTACTCTTTTTTTTCACTTATTTTTTTAATTTAAATTTTTTATTGTAAAGATACTATACAGAGGGTTACAGTTACATGAACAAGGAAATGAGTACACTTCCTATTGAGCATTGTTACCCCCTCCATTGTTTTCCCCCTACCATCCCTTCCCTCCCTACCTTCCCCGAGGTTCTTTTTTTTTAATTGTGATTAAGTGATTACATAATTTCCCAAATTTCACAGTATTGTCCTTCACTTAGTTTTACCTACCTTGACAAAGCCCATTGTGTTCAAAATAATAACAACAGAAATGTATGTGTTGATGCTTACTATTGTACATCAGCTAGTTTACAAGGGACAGCAGAGGCATAGAGTGTCTTCTGTGTGCGGCCCCTGCACTCACTGGAAAGGAGGACAGTAGACTTGAAAGTGAACTAAAGTCACTTGTAAGTTTGTCTTTTAAATTGCAGGGGAAGTATTGAATAAATGAGCAGACGTTTTGTTTTGTTGGTCCTTAGGCCAGGTGCTGTCCCTGAGCTGCTTTTGCTAGAATGCTACACTTTAGCAAAAGAAATTACTCTTAAAAGTCCTGAAAGCCAGGCAGGTGTCAGGCCTGGCGAGGGTGCATTGGGCAGTGTAGATGTTGAATGAGGACAGTGACTTCAGAGCATGATCCTGGGGGTGAGCCACCTGCACCTGTCACTCATGGACATAGACTAGACTCGACAATGAAAGAAATCCCCAGAGCCCCTTCTTAAAGAGGGCTCTCAATCAAGGTCTTTAAGCAAATACTCTCTATGATCCAGAGGCCCTTCTTTGGAGTTGACATGGTTTGCCTATTCTCTGAGCCACCTTGTAGAACAATCTAGGGAGAAGGAATCTCTATCAATTACTAGCTTGAACCCACAATGCTGCATACCCTAAGAAGAGGCGGTCACGAGTCACAGTCTACACTCAGCATGCTGAAACCATGTGTCCTGTTCTGGATGGCATTTCCACCTTGCACAGATCCCTTGTTTCTCTTAGGTGTCTCTTCTGCTGCCCACTGAGCACTTGCATAGCCTTGTTCTTTTTACTTTTCAGTTGTGGGGCTTGAACTCAGGGCCTGGGAGCTGTCCCTGAGCTTTTATGCTCAAGGCAAGCACTCTAGCTCTTTGAGCCACAGTTCTATTTCCAGTTTTCTGGTGATTAATTGGAGATAAGAGCGTCATAGACTTTCCTGCCTCGATCCTCAGATCTCAGCCTCCTGAGTAGCTAGGACTACAGGTGTGAACCACTAGCACCCAAATTCTGTTCACTTTTAATGATCCTGTCCTGTCTCCTCAAGAACCCCAACACTGCATTGAGGGCAGGTACAATGTCCTTTTTCCTTCTATACCCAGCGTGAGGTGCTATATTTGCTGGCTAAATGATGCATGGATGGGGACTGTGGGATTGCAGTGTGTCGCCAAGTGCAGAGCTAAGTGGTAGTAAAAGCTCTTAAAAAAGAGGAGGCCTGGCTGGGCGCCCGTGGCTCACGCATGTAATCCTAGCTACTCAGGAGGCTGAGATTTGAGGATCACGGTTCAAAGCCAGCCCAGGCAGGAACGTCCATGAGACTCTTATCTCCAATAAACCACTAGAAAACTGGAAATGGTGCTGTGGCTCAAGTAGTAGAGCGCTAGCCTTGAGCTGAAGAGCTGAGGGGTGGCACCCAGGCTCAGAGTTCAAGCTCCACAACCGACCAAAAAAAAAAAAATGGGAGCATGGGGAGTATCAGTAGCTCACATGCATAATCCTAGCTACTCAGGAGAGTGAGATCTGAGGATTGTGGTTTAAAGCCAGCCCAGGCAAAAAAAAAAAAAAAATCTGTGAGATTCTTATCTCCAGTTAACTACCCAAAAAAGCCCAAAGTGGAGCTGTGTGTGGCTCAAGTGGTAGAGCGCTAATCTTGAGCAAAAAAGTTCAGAGACAGTATCCAGTGCCCAGTACTGGGTTTAAGCCCTAATACTGGAACAAAAGAAAAAAGAAAGAGGAAGCATGCAAACCAGAGGCACCAAAGGCAGTTTTCCTGCCCCCTCTAATAAAATAAGTGGCACCCAAAAACACAGGTCATGTGACACCCCCTCAGATGAGGGGGTAACCCAAGCCAGTGCTCAGATGTGGAAATGGGGTGATAGGACCCAAGGGGGCAGGTGGTAGCGTCAGGAGGGACACCATCAGGCCTGTCAGTCTTCAGAATGTGGGGCCTCTAAGAATAGGTGTCTCTGTAGGAGATGGACTGCAACAGGTAGCAGGCTCAGGCTCCGGGAAAGAGCAGTGGGATTAGTCACAACATTGTCACAGCAAGGGGGAGTGGTGCTCCATGAGGAATCCCCACCGGATCATCACTCACTCACGGTGTTCTCTACGCACAGGTGAGAGGAGAGGGATGGGCCTTTCTGGAGAAGGAAGCCAGGAAGAGGAGGATGATAAAGATGATGAAGAGAAGAGAGGCCAGGTGAACCACCCCAACTCGAATCAGAAAGCCCAGAGAAGAGAACTAGCAAGAGAAGCAGCAGGGTGGGGGTTCTGTGTGCAGGGCTGTTGGTTTTTCCTGGTGGCCCCAGAGATGGGGCTGGAAGAGCATCGTCGCCACCAGCTATGAGACCCAGGAGACTGCATGAGGACTCACATTCAGGAAGCAAGCATGCTGGAGAAGGAGCCAGAAGGAAGGTAGAGACAGGAGACCCGCTGGGACCCTTCTCTTGCTTGGGAAGAAAGAGGTAGAAATCTGATGGATTCTGGTCAAACAAAGTCTGGCCAGCAAAAGCCACTGGGGATCTTGGAAAAGATGAAGTGACCCTCTAAGCGGTGAGAGAGTGTGGGAACAGAAGCCGAGGGGGGACTGGGGAGAAAAGTGTCCTACTGTATCCAGGGCTGACTCCCAAGGGGATCCTAGGAGCAACTGCACAGCTGATCTCGGAACCAGGGGCAGAAGGCAAGCGTAGATGGCTGGGAGAGGCCGGATCCTTGGAAGGGCAAGCACTGCCTAGGGGAACAGCACGGCCCAGCTCCCCCCCCCAACCTGCTGCCTGCACCTCCCTCTCAACTCCAACTCCTCACTGCCTCTGCCCTGGAAATGCCCGGCTGAGGGCAGCCCACATGCTGCCTCAGGCACTGCTCAGCATCTTTGCTGCCCTACTGTCTGAACTCTCCCTGCTCTCCCAAGCCTGAGCTTACCCAGCATGGAGGACATTTCTTTATCTCTCAGCATCCCAGGCCCTCAGGGGCTCCAGCCCCCTCCTCCCATCAGCTGATCGCTGAGCCTCAGCCTTTGAACCCCAGCTTCTTCATCCATCTGAGCCCAGCCCTTCCCTTGGCCTGGGGCTCCCAGCCCTGAGGCAGCCCTGGCGACTCCTCCAAGCTCAGCTTCCACGGTGCTGAGGCCTCTGAAGCCGAGTTTCAGGGAAGGGGGCTATGTGTCCCCCCCCCCCAGTCCCCCACCACATACACACACACCCAAGTCCTGTTCCTCTCCAGAACCATGCCTCAAGCCCTAGCCCAGGTGGCCCTCTCTCCACCTGTGTTCTGCCCCAGATGCAGCTGACCCCTGACCTTCCTGCTCCCCCTACCTGGCGCAGGTTTCGGGTAACCCGGACGTCGTGCCAGGCGTTGTCGTTGAACTTGCCATTGACCGGTTCCACGAGGGCCTCGAAGGCACCTGAGCCTAGGTTGATGACCAGCCAGACGGCGCCGGACTTGAGGGAGAGGTTGACATAGTCGGCCGACTTGCCCGTGTGCAGCATCAGCCCGTTGCGCTGCAGGGTGCGGAAGGCCAGGGTGATCTCGTCGGTGCTGCTCTGGATCGGGTTGTGTGACAGGTCGTAGCAGAAGAATTCATTGCCTTTGAAGGTGGCCACAAACTCCTCCTTGCCTGGACGCCGCGGTTTGGGAAAATGGGAGAAGGCTGAGTAGAACAGAGGACACCCTTGCCTCCTTTTCCGCTTCCAGCAACCCAAGCGCCAGTCCTGGGCACCAGGAGTCCTGCAGCCCCAACCCCAAGCTTTAGGCCTCCTTCCCTCCCTCCACCGGCCAGCCCAGCCCTCAGGATCCTGCTGTCTTTGCAGTCAAAAGTCAGCGTCCCCCAGGTCCATTTCCAAAGCAGGAGGCTGCTAAGTGGCTTTCACACTGACAGCTGACAATTAAGCTGCCACAGGGCCAGGCAAAGTGGATGGATGGACCTCACCATTTCCTCCCCACCGACCCTCCCCATCGGCCCCTCCTCCACAAAAGGATGTAGGGGAGAAACAAGAGGCTCTACCTGGCTTCTCCCTGTGAGCTCCTCCCTAGGATTGGGGGCTGGGGGGGAGGGAGAGCCTCCCACCTGTCCCCCACACACACCTCTTCTTGGTGGCAGCTATACTCAGTGGCTGAGGACAAGTTCAGGCTTTACCATCTTGGATGGGGCCAGCAGGCCTGTTGTGTAGCACTGAGCAGATGAGGGGACGGGAAGCAGTGGGGTGGGGAAGAGGTAGGGAGAAGATGCCCAGGAAGGCAATGCAGGTGGCATGGACATGCGCATACATGGGTAGATACTGTGCCAGCGCTCACCCCACCCCCAGCTTTCTACTCAAACCTGTATAGACCTATGTGTAACAGGTAGTGGCAAAGTGAACACCATAGGGGTAGGCCTGGCTTGTATGGGTGTGGGTGTGTATGTGTGTGCACGCACATGCATGTTTATACGGACATAGCACCCAGCCTAAGATCCCTACCATTGACAGTTTTTAAGCAGAAGCAACAACTCCTACCAGGGCCTTACCATTTGCTAAAGTTCTACTTGTGGGTGACAAGTAAGACAATGGTGACTCTGGTACCAAGAAGTGTAACTTCATACCCTAGAGCACAAGTAGAGGGAAGAGAACCAGATGCAGACTCAAAAGAGAGCAGAGGCCCTGGCCTCAGGCAATGGCTCCTGTCTCCATACCAGAAGGTAGTGACATTACAGCTGGTCCTACCTATCTCTCCAGGTGGACAAGGGCAAACAGGGCCGAGTGACCAGGGGCTCCACTGAGCTGCCCAAGTGCATGAGTTACCAGGAGATGCTTCCAAGGCCCAAGAAGAAGCAAGCACCACACCTGAGACACATCTAGCCACCAAGAGGGAGGGGGGCTGGGGGGAGGGGGCAGGGCTCAGCAACAATGCCACATGTGGACACGGGGGCGGGGGGGGGTGGTCTCTGGGTGTGGATTCTGCAGAACCTTCTTCTATGCACACAGCCTGCCTCTCTCCATCTGGGCAGGCTGCCCACAGATTCTGCCCTCACTGCCTCCGGATGCCAAGGCACCAGCTGCTGCCCCAGCCCTTGGCACAACCCTCACTGCAGCTGGCAAGGCCTGGTTTCCCAAGGCCACAGGGCAATGAGCTGGGGGGGGGGAGCGTGGGCCACATCAGGACAATCTGCATCCCTCCCTCTGCCTACTTAGGGGATCAGAGGTAAAGGTGAGGAATCTAGCAGACAAGAAGGAAAAGGGAGAAGCAGGTGAGGTACAAAAGAGCAATGTACAGTCAAGAGAAAAATGGACCATTGAAAGGGCTGAAGAAAACAGAGCCAGCACTGGGCTGTGAGGGACAGAGAGGTCATGGGAAGCTATAAGGATAAAGGAGAAAGCCCAGAGGGGACAGGTAAGGACGATGGGAAAAGGGCCAGCGAGGAAAGGGGACAGGGACCTCTAGGGAAAGAAAGCCAAGGCTTTCTAGGGCCTTAGTGTTGCCATAGCAACCGGGCCTGCTGCTCAGACACTGGCAGAGCCAGGGGGGCTCAAGGAAGTGAGAAAGGGAATGTGTTTGACCTTGGGTTTGCCACCCGTTCTGCTAGTCCCACCCAGAAGCCAGGCCTCGCCTCCGACTACCAAAACCTCGACTACAGCAAAGAAAAAAACCATCATAGAGTCAGACGGAAGGGAAGACTAAGGCAGCCATGTTTAACAAAAAGTGACTGAGCCAGAACAAAAGAAGCCAGTAAAAAAAAAAAAAAAAAGGGAGAGAGGTTGATTTGGGGCTGGACCATACCTGCCAAGACAAGGCAAAGAAACCTCACACCTCAATTCCGCAGCTCAACCTCAGTCTCTCGGGAGAAGAGGCAATGTCAGCCGCAGCCGATGCCTACTGAGCTCTCATCCCTTTGGCTGCCAGAAAACAGGTAGGGAACACCAGAAATGGGAAGGGACACAGAGCAGCCTGAAAGCCTCTGAAGAGAGGTGAACAACTGCAAAAAGAAAACTAGAGGATGGAGAGAAGGGAAGAAGGCTCACTATTGGAGTCAAGAAGTGGGATGGTGGCCGGAGCTCAGCAGAGCACAAACCATATCTAGGATGCAGAGGAAAGCACCAGGGGGCGCTCTGCTCTGTCTCCCGCACAGCCCAGACCAGAAACTACATCTCCCAGCAGCCCCTGAATCATTACATCCTGAGAGCTCCGGGTGCAAGAAAAAGTAATAGCAGATACTTGTTTGTCTCTCTCAGTTAGGGCTCTCTCTGTGGCCCTACAAGTGTTCCCAAGTGAAGCTGAATGTAACCAGAGATGAGTTGTTTTGGTCCTGGGTTTCTGAAGGCCATGAAAGGAAGGGGACACAGCATCTGCCTCCTTCCCAGGCCCAGCTCAAAGGCCTCCTCTGGGAAGGTCTCCAGCCCCCTCCGCCCCTCCCTGCTTTCCAGCACTACAGCTGTCTGTTCTGCGCATTTGGCACTTACTGCCTAGTAACATCTTGTACTGCTCCCCAGGGAGGAAGTGCGATGTGAGAAAGAAGACCTGGGCACTAGGGCTGGCTCGCCACCAGCTTTGTGACCTTGGCCGAGACACAACAGATCTAAACCCAACTCTTTCCTGGAAAAAGCAGCTCATCCTCAGCCTACCTTACAGGTCGCTCTGCGTCTCCAGAAAGCTCAGACAGGGGCAGCTTCCAGTGGCAAACCAGTCCCCACATAAACTACTCTTCCACTGGGATATGACTCTTTATTTACTTTTTGGTGCCAGTCCTCAGCTTCTTTTGCTCAAGGCTAGTGCTCTACAACTTGAGCCAGAGCTCTACTTTTGGTTTTGGGGGGGGGTAGTTTATTGGAGATAAAAAGGCTCATGGGCTTTCCTGCCCAGGCTGGCTTTGAACTGCAATCCTCTGATCTCAGCCTGTCTCTTTCTCTCCCCCGCCCCCTTCTCTCCTTCAGTGAGTGCAATTAACTCCTCTGAATGAAGTCTGCAGTTTGCATACAGTTTGCATGGACCACAATTCAGTGTAGTTACATGTGGAATGCCAGTGATCCTTCTAGGTCAGACACCATTCACTCATTTAAAGTGAATGTGCTGAGCTCACACCTACGTATGTGCAGGAGCTGTGCAGAGCACTGGGAGATACAAATAAAAATACCTAATCCCTGTCCTCAGGGAGCTCAGTGTAGCGGAGTGGCAGACAGGTAAAGTGACAGGATGTAGTGTGGCTGACTCTACTGGAGGTGTAGACAAAGGGAAGTCTGGGAAGTGCCAGGCTGGCCTGGGGAGTGCAGGGAGCACCAGTGTGGATAGCCTGGCTGCTTTTTCAAGAGCTGGCTGAAAGAGGCAGCAAGGAGAGGAACTGGAGGAACAGAGGCAGCAGTAGCACCCAGGAATTCAGAAACACACAGGCCAAAGAATGGAGATGGGGACTCCAGATGCAGTTTCTGGAGGTTCCCAAACTGGCCTGTTAACTTTTTTTGGGGTCAGTTGTGCGGCCTGAACTCTGGGCCTGGGCGCTGTCTCTCAGCTCTTCAGCTCAAGGCTAGCACTCTACCACTTGAGCCACACCACCGCTTCCCAGTTTTCTGGTGGTTAATTGGAGATAAGAGTCTCATGGATTTTTCTGCCTGTGCTGGCTTTGAACCACGATCCTCAGATCTCAGCTTCCTGAGTAGCTAGGATTACAGGTGTGAGCCACTGGCACTGGGCTTTCTGTGAACTTCTTTATAGAGATTCTGCTAAGAAAGGCAGTCTTGGTGTGGAAAAAGGAACTGAAATTCAGGAACCCTGAGATACAGCCTTGGGGACTGTGGCCAGTATTGGGTCTCCTCATCCGAAAAATGAAAAGCAATGATTCCCTACCAATGAGAGTGGGAAAAACTCCATGTGGGTCGTAGATGCCCTGAATAGTGCACTAGTAGCCTTCCAGAATCAAATGGTGAAATGGGGAACTTCCCACTACCCATTCGCTCCACCGAGAAACACACACTTTCTAGGAACAGGCTTGACAACTGTGTGCTAGAAGGGCATCATCAGCCTGGCCAGGCTTCGAGAAAGAAATGGAAGTTGTGACTCTTCACACTACAGCAGGAAAGTGGCACTGGATGGGGGGGGGACACTGGAGACACCTGTGTCCACTCAGCTTCCCCCAAGAAATGGTGCAGTGCAGTTAGCCCGCAGCAGGGTAAAGGGCTGGGCTCTCTGGGGACTGTGGGGTCACTGACCTTTGGTTGGCTGGTGCACATCGCCGGCTCCTCCTCTCCCGGCCCCCCCCTCGGAGAACAGTAAGGACCCTACTGGAGAAGCAGAATTGGGGAGTCAGGCACAGGGGCTTCCCAGCCAGTCCCACCCCAGCCTTGAGGTGATGGGGGGCCCTCTCCAGGCCACAGGTGCTGCTTGCAGACACAGGCGCGGGGAGGGGCTGCCCTGGGGACTCGTTTGCCTTCAGGGACCCACAGACCCCCATCAGATTCCTGACCACCAACTCCTACCTTTTGCCCACAGTTGGGGGGAGATGGTGGAAGAACAGAAGGGCCAGCATCCAGGCCAGCCCTGGGCCGCCGGAGACTCCGGCATGCTCTCCTGGCCCCTGCCTCCCCGAGACTTGGGCTCTCCCACTTCGCTCACACCCTCCCCTGGCTCAGGATTCACATTCATCAACTTGTTCAAAAAGCCTGACTCCAGAAGTCACCTTGGAGTCGCCCAGCAGAGGATCCCTCGTCTGCTCTGTGCCTCTCCTCCCTCTGCTTACCCTGCACCTGCTCCAGTCCCTCACTGTGGGGCTCTGTGGTTCCACTGTGCCCACGGAAAGGCCTGCACCCATCAAGAGACATACCAGCTGGGTAGAGCTCACCAGGGCTGTGGGAAAGCCTTCACCCTGTTTGTCATCACCCAGGCCCCTGCGCCAAGCCCCACAGGTGCAAGTTATCACGTCCAGGTCCTAGGCTGGTTTGAGCCTCACTCACCCTGCCAGGGAGCATGTGCTCTTGGCGCCTGGACTCCCTCAGACAAGTGTCTTGTTGCCAGAGCCACAGGATGGCTTTAGGACAAGGGGAACTCAGGGATGAGGGGGAAAGTTCCTACGTGGGCTCTTACTCCAACTCCATTCCCAAATTCCCAGAACTACCACTAGAGTAACATCTGAGCTGCAGAAGTTTTTTTAAGAGGAAGGGAAGGATTTCTGGATCCTCCAGTCAGGGGTCCTCATAGATGTCTATGGTGACTGAGCTACCTGGGGCTTCCTCCTTCCCTACACTTCTCAATGTAATTTCACATCCCTGCAAGAATCCCAGGCCCTTACATCCCCAGATCTAATGCCATCCCAAATTTCAGACATCTCTGAGACTCTCTGCAGCCCAGCTTTGGTCCTCTGTGTTTCCTTGCCTACAGTCAAGGACCTCAACCAGTGCCTGTGTGGACTGACCCTGGCTGAGGGCCACACCTGGCAGACACAGAAGTACCCAAGGGTCAGGAAGGTCATCAAGATGGAGGACAGGGAGAGTGTGGAGGGCAGAGCTGGAGGGGATCAGTCAGGACTCCTGGGTTCTGCCTCTGGGTTTGCTGAATACTAGGTAGGGCTCTCTGCCCCTCAGTGCTGAGAATTGAAGTCGGCATCATGCACTCTTAGGCAAACACTCTATCACTGAGCCAAAGCCCCGGGGCTTTGAAGGTGGTGAGGACTTGGCCAAAGGAAGGCTCAAATTAGAATGACTAGTCCTAATCATACCATCTATTAGGCCTGGCAATCACTAGCAAGTCACTTCTCTCTGGTCTTCAACATTGTCATCTGTCAAGCAGGGATAAGAGTCATTCAAAAGATACAAAGTGAGCTGGGCACGGGTAGCTCACACCTGTCATCCTAGTGACTCATGAGGTTGAGATCTGAGCATCATAGTTCAAAGCCAGCCCAATAGACAAATGCAAGACACTCATCTCCAACTTCCAGCAGAAAGTTGGAAGTAGAGGCATGGCTCAAGTAGTAGAGTGCCATCTTTGAGGGGGAAGGCCAAGCATGAAGACAAGGCCCTGAGTTCAAGCTCCAATACTGGCACACACACACATACACAAAAAGAAAAGCCTGTTTCATCATATTCTGAGTCAAGCAGATGGGTCCTTTGGAGAAACATGTTTCTCCTGCTTAAGTGAGGGCTGCTTATTCCAACCTCAGAGACACCAGCGTCAGGAGAGTGGAGGACCTCCTTCCTGATCCTTAGTACAGAATCATAAAGAATAGACACTGGGCTTGGAGTGAAATCAAAATCCAGGGCTACACTTTCAAAGATCAGTAAAATATAAATCATATTTTAAAATAAACAGCAAAATGCAGGGTTGGGGTGTGGCTCAAGGGGCAGAGTGCCAGCCAAGCAAGCAAAGCCAAGCAAGCACAAGGTCCTGAGTTCAAAACCTCCAGTACTGATTTAAAAAAAAATACAGGGTGAACACACATGGTGGGACACTGTGAAAAGGCAGAAGTCCTACACCTCCAACCCCCCCCACACTTTTTTCCCTCTTCACTCCATTCTGGGGACAGGGGTCTCCCAATATCAGGAGGGAGGTGGGGTACGGCTGCCTGAAATCCCTTCTCCAGCCCAGGCCCTTCTCTTTTTTACTTGGTTTTATAGAAAGGAAAGAATGGTGAGAATGAGTGGAAGGAAATAAAACACCACCGTGAGAAAGAAAACAAGTGAAATAAATACACTACCAGGAAAATGCAAAAAAAAAAAAAAAATGACTGGAGACAACGGCAGGAGTTCAAACATCTCTTGATGTCAGAAACCAAGGTGAGATGAGGGTGGATGGAGTGAATCGGGTGGGTGGGGAGGGGAGCGCACAGACAAGGACCAACCCCCCTCCCCCACCCGGCACCCCTCAATAAAACAAAGAAATGGCAGAGGAAGGAGGGAGGAAAGGAAGGAAGGAAGCTGGACAGGTGGAAGAGGGAGAGGGGAGGGAAAAGAACAGAAAATCCAGGTGCAGGCTGGGAGCAATCCAATCCAATCCAAACCAAACCAAAACTTCAAACCATACCTTCGCTGTTTAACGTCAGGTGAGCCGGACCTTGGAAAAGGGAAGGAGAGAAAGGAAGAAAGAAAAAAAAAGAAGAAAAAAAAAGAAAGGAAGGGGAAAGAAACAAAGAAAACACGAGTCATCAAAATCAGCCAGAGAGAAGGAAGGAAAAAAAAAAAGCTTTTGCTGCCACAATTTAAAAACCCTTTTTAACTTGTGACAGACATCGGGGGAGAGCCCCCAGCCTGAAAGCTGAGGGAAGGGGCCCGATGCAGAAACAGAGGGTAGAGGGCAGGAAAAGGGAACAGAGAGAGAGAGAGAGAGAGATAAAGGGGTGTGGGGCGGGGGGGGAGACCAGAGGAAGATGGGGCAGGAAGTCACTGCAAAAGGGGAGAGGAAATTTTGGTTTCTTTTTTTTTCTTCTTGCCGGAAAAAAAAAAGGAAAAGGAGGAGAAGCATGAGGCTAGGAGAGTTGCTTTTTCCTTTTTCTTTTTTTCTTTTTTTTTTTTCTTCCGGGAGGCGGAGAGAAAAAAAAACGGTCAACGAGAAAAACGATTCGGATGGAGGAGAAAATAAAACACGACACAAAAAAAATCAAAGCCACCTGGAGAGAGAGAGAGCGTCCTGTTAGCGTGGGATTGAGTGGGGAAAGGGGCCTCCAATCCCACTCACGTACCCCCCCACGCCCCCCCCCGTCAGCCCCCAGGAAAGGTGGGAAGTGGATATGAGGGGCCTAGGCCTAAAAGGAAACTTGTACAAAATTTGTCCTTATCTTTCCAGCTGCCCCTTCCTAAGCCCCTCTATGTGGCGAGCCTGTACCCCTGTACCCCTAGGTTATAAAAGGAAACTGGAGCTCCTAAGGACAGTTGGAGAGGAAGCAGGGAGGGAGACAGTGAGTGGAGGGAAAGTCTGGAACAAAATTAAGTCATGGATTCTTCCCCAAGGAGGTCTTGGAGAGCACAAGGGCACAGGTCATGGACAGCAAGGTCCAAAGACAGCATCCAAGACTCCAGGGCAGGAGGCTCTGCTCTCAATCCTGAGTTGCCCTGCAGATCCCCTTTCTCTGGCCAGGACCTCTCTGAGAGGATCCAAAAGCTGAATTTGGAAAATGGAAAATAGACTTGACAGCAAAATCTGTTTGGTTCTCCCACCAGGATTGCCTAGACAGCCCTAACCTAACCCACCTCTCCCAGACCTGACCCAGCCCTCCCAGACCTGACCCAGCCCTCCCAGACCTGACCCAGCCCTCCCAGACCTGACTCACCCCTCCCAGACCTGACCCAGCCCTCCCAGACCTGACCCACCCCTCCCAGACCTGACCCACCCCTCCCAGACCTGACCCACCCCTCCCAGACCTGACCCAGCCCTCCCAGACCTGACCCAGCCCTCCCAGACCTGACCCAGCCCTCCCAGACCTGACCCAGCCCTCCCAAACCTGACCCATCCCTCCCAGACCTGAGTGGGGAGAGCCCAGCTCACTGGACCAGAGTCCCAATCCCCAGAGAGGCTGTTGGTGCCAGGCACACAGCTGGGCTGAGCCCCCTGGGCTCCCTGAGATGACCAGCCCTGCCTCCCTGCTGTGGGGTCTAGGTAAGTAAGAACAGCCCTGCCACCAGGCCTCTGTTGTGCTGGGAAACCATCCCAGCCACTGTGGTGATGAGATGTGGGCCCCGGGGCCAGAAAGGAAGCAAGGCTAAAGACCTACAAGGGTCACTGGGGCACAGTAAGAGCCAGGATGCCTGGGACCCAGGAGAGAAACAGCAAAGAACTGAGAAGGGTCGGGGTGGGAGGACAAAGGGCAAACACAGCTACCCCGGAGTCCTGGAGCCTCTTCTCCTCACCTCTCTGAGATGGCATTCATTCTTCCCCACCTATATATAGGTCCTGAGGAGGAAGAGGAGGAAGAAGAGGAAGAGGAGGGGAGGAGGCCTAAGCTGCTGGGGGCTGCCTCAAGACAGAAGAGCTCCTGGGAGGGATTACACTCACAGCACAGGTGGGGCCACCTGAATCTGGACTACTTTCTGACTCCTTGCTTGGAATAGCCCCCCCCCCACCTCAGACTCTTCCCAAGAAAGCTACCAGCACCTTCTAACAAAACCCTAAACTCAAAAAACCCAGGTGCAGCTCTGACCCTCCTCCCCCTTGCCTGTCAGCGGCAGCCTTGCCCTGGAAGCAAGGTCTTGGAAATCCAGGTTTCTGCTGCCCTAGCCTAGCAGCCAGAGGCCCCTCCAACCCACTGGCTGTCCCCCCTCAAGTCTGACTACTGTTGGGGGGAGTGGCATCTCT